TTCAACTGCCAGTGTTTCAACTGCCTCCCGCAGTGCCACATTCAACACCCTGAAGACGACCTGCAAAGTGTGTCGAAACGTCGGCAAAAATTAAAATAATTTATATATTTTAATTTTTTTTATTTATTTGACCGCACCCTCGACTAACTCCTTCTCATAAAATTTAGTTAATTACTTACATACAAGGTTACTACATCATTTATTTCTCGCATGAGTTATTTCTCTTAGAAAGCTCGTGTCATAACTGAAGTTTCATTTATAGAACAACTATTTTTTCTTCATCACGATCGGTGGCCCATGGGCCAAAAAGTTTTGATACTTCTGGGTTAGTTAAGATAAATTTTTCATAGCCTTACAGGCAAATTCTGAATTTCTACAGATGTACATTTGCTGGATATTATAGTTGAGATTCCTAATAGTGCAATTTATTGCTAACAGTTCTGCATGGTAAGAGGTACAATGTAGGAGTAATGAGTAAGAAATAACATTATTTGATGTAATAATGGTCGTCTTAACGTCCATATACGCGAGCTTAAATAGACAACCATGTGAAAACATCACGTATCCACTTGATCATCAACCTAACATATGTTTTATTAATAAATAATCAAAATCAAAACATTTATTATTGATGTATACAATTTAGACGAACAGACTATATAAAGCCCAATGAAATTTCTAAATAAACAATAGACTATAGATAATTAATAAAACTTAATTTAAGGAGTAATCTAAACTTAACTATTTACAATTAAACAACAAGAACTTACGGACTAACCTAAAGCTGATATAAAATTTACTAACTAATATAAATCTGAATAACGTACAAAAATACCAAAGACTTCATCCATATAAGTTCGCTTCTTCCAGCAGTTACAGAGATAGAGAGAAGAGAGAACTAACGTTTCCTCCAACGCACGTAGGTCTCTTCACCTTTTCCAATCACTCTTCAATCTCCTAAAAACATCTGACTCTCTCTCTCTCTTTACACTGCCTTAATGCGCATTCACTGCCAAATTAATTAATTCTTTTGTTTTGTGCACTACATTTGAAGTAAATTAAAGATAATGAAAAAAGTAAAAAGTTGAATGTTCGTAAATGAAACTAAACTTAATTAGGAACAGTATCCTGAACTGACTTATGATAGTACAGGAATTAAAAATATATGAGACCTATAGTTTGCAATTGTTGACTGTACGGTAAATCAAAGATGAGATGATCTGTTTGGTGGTAAAGATCTGTACTATATGTACAGTAGTATATATCGCTTTTTCGGCTTTCAGGAGCTAAATGAGGTATAAAACGAAAGGGAATTGTATGGAGAAGTAATAAATCCCTACTTTAAAACTTAAAATCTAATTACAACGACAATAAAAGTCAAAGAGAAAATTGGTGGGGATGATCAGTCAAAGAAAAAAATAAATAAGTATATTTATATTTATTTTTGCGATGTTTCGGCCCAAATTTCAGGCCTTCATCAAGGCTAAGAAAAAAACAGATAACAAAAGGTATGAGAATAAAGTATTAACATTAAAAAGAAAAAATAATATGTAGGTGAAAGATATAATCTAGGTAGAATAAACTTATAGGAAATATAAAATAACGATAACAAAGTTAGGAATAGAAACTTTCTACTAGATTTAAAGTAGAAAGTTATACTTATTCATATAGAATATATAAAGATATACTTAGATATAAGATATGGAAAGATAAACTTATTTATTTTTGCATTTTTTTTTACTGATCACCACAACCAATATTCTGTTCAATTATTCACTGCAGTGAACCATCAATCCACAATTACAATAAGAGTCTTTAAAAAAAAAACTATGATAGTTTCAAAAGTCAACGGATCGAGGTGAGATAAATGATAAATTGTCTTTTAAATATTTTGCTGTGGACATAATGACCCCGTATAATGTACAGGCCCTATTTTTTAAAGTCCTTAAATGTCAAAAAGATTTTGACCTTGACATTGAGATGCGGGCCTGATTTTTAAAGTCCCAAAATGTACCATTTTCGAGATGATTCGTAATTCATGCCAAAAGCCTCTTAGGTGTTGTTGCCATGGGATACACATCACATGTTTAGATTTTAAAATTTTAAATATTACTATTTATAATAGTCTTCCATGAACTAAAAATCTGTTGAAAAGGTAAAATGCAATGAAGACCCTTGGACACTTTTGGTAATATTAAAATCATGTTTTTCTAAGTAATCTCTCTATTATATAAAAAATGTTTTTAGTGACTATCATATTTTATTTTATATGTACCAAGTGGGACGGATGATAAAGAAGACACTACATTTCTCATTCCCAACAAATTAAGCACACTAATAATGAATATAAATAAACATTTAAATAACACACTGTGGGAGTGGGGTAGCTCAGTGGTAGGGCATTGAGCATCCAATGCAAAGGTCCCAAGTTCGAACCCCGGCTAATGGCAGAAAATTTATTTATCTGTTTCATTGGCCGTGGGGCGACCCTGGGTCGTGAGACTCTCCTGGGGCACACCCAGCCTCTATATAGTGGGTACCCTTAATTAAATAATTAATTAAGGGGGAAAACCTGGCGGTTGAGTATGATCCCGGTCAAATCACCTCCTTGTACAACCCTTGACCTAGAAACAGTGCTTTTCTTAAATAGTACTGAACCCCAGACCCTTCATGGGTTGTAGTGGTACAGGTTTTTTTAAAAATAACACACTATACACACAGTGATTTTATGATGATAGTGATGATAAAAAATAATACAATCCAAACTACAGAATATATGTAAATTACGGTTATACAATTTGAGCAACTTTTAGTACAATTAAATGAACAGTTGTATAATTGGCAAAATGATGGTGATTGGTCCGCCGGGCAGGGAGTACCCTCCTAGTAATAAATAAATAAAATATCCAGATATGGATTGTTTGCTCTCAATAATAAATTTCTATACTCTTAATAAGTGAGAGTACTACAAACCATCTCCTGTACCAAACAAATAGGTCTTGAGTACTGTGTACGTATTATTAGTGTCGTGTCCTATAATGGATTAGTATAAGTTCAGAGATAGTTGTTACTTATTGTTTAACTAAAAAACTAAACAAATATTTTCTAGTGAGTCAAGTTATCATTTATTAAGTTTTTTTTTTATCCTATGCCTTTTGGCTTTATAATTTCGGCTTCCGACGTGGGTGAAAATAGTCAAGATTTATTCCTGGGTCTCTTTCATAAATTTATTACTTGTCACCTAGACCAGAATTGAAAAGGTGCCTCTTCAGACTCAACAATGTTGTGTCACTTTACCACTCTCGGGCCACTGTTATCTCAAAATGTTTTTCTTTTTGATTTTGTTTTCATTCATGTTTTATGAAAAAAAAAAAAAACATTTGTACTGTTAATATTTAGTATTAAGAAAAGTTACAAGCTCTTTTATTCTGATTTCATATACAAATAAATCATACTTAAATTACATGATCTTATTCATATTATTTGTTTGATGTACAGGATGGGCAGAAATGAAAGTAACACATTAATTTCAATTAATTTTTTTATGATAAGATACCTTTTCCTGCAGTGCACAAACATAATAGGCAATAAAGGAAGGAGAAATGGTCCGGGGTTGCGGTCATAAATAGGCTAAATAGTGGCAAAACTATTTTATTAAAAGCCAATGTTTCGACCCGACTTTGCATATCTTCTTCAGGGAGGTGTGTTCAGCTAGCAGTTTCACTTAGAACTGAAGTTCTACACACCTCCCTGAAAGAAGACATGCAAAGTCTTGTCGAAACGTTGGCTTTTAATAAAATAGTTTTGCCATTATTTAGCCTACTTTTGACCGCCACCCCGGACCATCTCTCCTTCCTAAGGAGCAACACTATAAGCTGGAATTTATTTTAGAGTCCTACAGGATTACTGTGAAAAAAAAAAAACACAGGGAAAATTGGTTATCTTACATAACAAGTGTTCAAATTTTTTGGATTTCAATACCCTTGAAAGAGAGAAGAAAGCTCTGTTCATAATTGTTATTTTGCTGGTCTTTGTTAGTTGATCATTTATTGAGGTTATCGTGGAGCCGAAGTATTTGAATCTAATCTACCGACTTTCGGAAATGACTTCTAGCAGATCATGCTATTACTGTGTTTTTTTCGGCTATCATATATTTTGTTTTATCTTCATTGACTTCTTGTAGTCAGAAAAAATGTATATATCCTGGAACATCAACATACAATATGATATCTGTGAAAAATAAAGTAAATATACAAGTCACAAGTTGAATTTTCTAACCTTAGTAGTATGACCAAAATGTTCAAAACAAAAGAAATAAAAAGAAGAAATCAATAAAAACAACAGTTATTTAACAATAACTATAACAACAGAAAAGTCCTATTCCAAGCAGTTTAGATGTAGTAGGACCAAGAAAGAGCAAGCGCTCTCAGCTATTTCTGATTTCTCTCTGTCTATCTCTAGGCTTGACCTATCGAACTAACCCTTATTTATTCCTTAAAAAGAAATAAGGATTAATCCTTATTCTTAAATTTTAAATGTTACTATCTGGTAAGAATGGTTTGAACATTGAATAGATTATGATCATTCCTCCACATTCCTATAGTTCGATGGTCGGCCTTTGTTCAGAAACATGTACTGTCAATAAACTAACGTGTAAAGGGTTCATTGAACTCTGGGATTGGTGTCACCGATACAATAAACAATTTTCTCTATGAGTAATTTATTCGTGACCTGAGATACAAATTAACCATAATTTAACCAAAATCAAGGAATGGGACAAAAAAAAAAAAAAAAAGCAGAAATTTATAAAACAAATCATGAATTGTTTCACTAGTAACATAAATAAATTTCAAATTACAGTTTATTTACACTTTCACTTCAGAAATAATAATCGAAAATGTCTGGGGTAGCAGTTAGATTTATTTCACCATCCTGTATATGTTTGTAAATATGTTATTATTAATTACATGTTTTCAATAATTATTATTTTTATTTTTTAGTTGAGGCTATGGAAACCCTTGTAGATGGAGGAGGCGGTGATGTTACTGAGAGTGGAACAATCAATGGTGAAATGCATGATCCAATTCTTCTGGATACCGAAATGGAAGAAGGTTAGTTCACTATTTATTATGAGACAAATTTTTTACTTTCACTTACATATATGCCTGTTCTGCCATAAATACTGTTACAAAAGTCGAACGTTGTTTACATCCTTGGATATTATTTAGATAATCCTCTATCAGGTTATATTCTTTACATGTAAGGATAATAATCCGAATTAGTTTGTATTTTTCTTTCTCTCAATTAATTTGGAGTGGGGTGATAAAGAAAACAGAATAGCTGTGATCTCCTTACATAAAGTTGTAAAATGTAGGTCAGAGATTTTCAACACTTTGAAAACTGAGTATCAGCCGTATGTTCCGTGTACCGCACTACAAATAGATATAATGAGACCCTATCTGTATGTGATAGATATCGAGCGGGCCGTCCCCGCACTGTGGGAACGGCAAATGCAGTGAGAGCAGTAACTGCTTAAATCAGAAGAAATCCCATTCGAAAAAAACAAATTGTGTCTCGGGAAATGGGAATCTCTGTCAGTTCAATATCTCGCATTATAAAAAGTGACCTTAGGATGAGTGCATTTCGTAGAATGATAGGACAGAGACTAACCACTTCCCTAAAAAAATTAGAGTGGATAGATGCAAAGTGCTTCTTGGCCGTTAGACCAATGGTCTTTATCGAAAGATTTTGTTTAGCGATGAGAAAATTTTTACAATTGAAAAAAAATTTAACTGCCAAAATGATCGTGTGTACGCACACAGCTCTAAAGGAGCCCAGGAAGTCATTGGAAGAGTGGAAAGAGGTCATCGCCCTTCCTCAGTGATGGTTTGGTGGGAAATTTGCTTTGATGTTACCACAAAGCTCCATTTTGTGAAAAATGAGTTAAAAAAAAGCTGGTAAAAACCATCAAGAAAATATTTTGGAACCTGTTGCCAAGCTTCTAAATGAAACTCTGTTTGCTCGAAGTCATTGGGTTTTCTAGCAGGATTCCGCTCCAGCTCACAAGGCCAGGTCAACTCAGCAGTGGCTGCAAAAGGACATTCCTGAGTTCATCTCATCCTCGGATTGGCCCTCAGGAAGCTCTGATCTCAACACACTCCAGTCCGAACTGGAGAGAATAATATGCCATAAAGCACACCCTAACTTGAATGAAAAGCCTCAAATAATTTCTGGTGCGAGCAGTTGAGCGCTTTCTTCAAGAACTGCTGCTTGCTGCTATTGATGACTGACCAGGGGGAGATCAAATGCCTATGTCAAGGCAAAAGGGAGATATTTTGAGTAATTTTTTGTTTGTGTTATTCTCTATAGATATACATTTTATTTTCTAATAAAGTTTTAGAAAAAATTAATTTTTCTGTTGAACTCCGTACGTATTTCCCTGTAACAATATTTATGACAGGACTAGATATATGAAATCTATAGTAAGCGAAAGTAAATATTGTGATCGTGAAAAGTTTTGATTCCGTGTTTTAAATGGAAATACATGTTTTGAGATCCCCTGAGTCCTAATAACTAAGCTTCGCATAACGGTTTGTGTGTATATGCATGTTTACAGTCTAGCTGTAGAACAAAAAGTTGTACAAAAGTGATATTGTATATTTAATGTTTCTGTATGCCTGGGATGTTACAGCAACTTTTTTTTCATCTAACCGAAATTGGTACATTATATTATCGATTTAACAAATTGTTACGATTTTCTCATAAACTCCACTAACAATTTTGATTAAATTCATTGTATCTGTGTAAAATATAGCAGTTTTTAATATAATGTAGGTCTTATTCTCTTTGATGTTCTCTAACAGAGCTTAAATGCCTAATTTTCAAAATTTCTTCCTCTAAAGTACGTTTAATTTTTTTTTTTTATTTGAAATAATTAACCATTTCACTTTGTATTCTGCTATAAAAAAAAGTGATTAAGTATAAAATATGAAAGAATTTGATAATTAACTGAAAATTGTAATGCTACCAATGGGTAGTTTCTCTTCATGTTGTACATGTCATGTTACTTGTATTTATCATTTAGTACAGTTGTAAATTTCAATAATAAAAAAAAACTGAAAGAGAAATAAAGGATTGTAACAGTAATAAAGAGACCCAAGAAACATGAGTGCACCCAAGCTTGTCTGAAGGCTAGAATATGCTTTCATAAGTAACTCGTGCTTAATATAATACGGGATCCAATAATATTATAATATACATATACAATTTTCATAAATTCTAGCGTTGGTATTATTTAATTGTGTAGTATGTTTTTTTTATTATTATTGCATGTTAATTCTATACGTGTTAATATTTGTGTGCACATGCGCGTGTGTGTTTAAAAGTATGTTAATTGTATGTATATATATATTGTTATTTTATGTTTATTTATTTAAATTTTATTTTATTTTGTAAATTTAGATGATGCAAGATCTGAGGCAACTTTCCGCCATACAGTTGTCAACTTTAGTAAATTAAAGGATTCTCAACTGTCGGCGCCATGTATCGTACGGAACCTACCATGGAAAATCATGGTTATGCCTAGGAACTCCCAAACACAAGATAGGCAACAGACCCGCAGTCTTGGATTTTTTTTACAGGTTTGATTTTTTTTTCAAAATATTGATCAACCAATTACCTAACTTACATTTCGTTTATTTATTTTTAATATCCTTCTGTAAAAATGAGAGGCCAATTAATGTTAAAAATCTTCTTATTTTCGGATTCAATCTAAGGTAAATATATACCTGTAATAAACGGTATAAGAGAAATTTTCAACATTAATGTGAACCACAGCTTTAGTTCTGATGGTGAATCTTTGTGAGTTTAGTTGACACCAAATTTACTCTTTTATTGAATATTGGTTTATTATTTTCAACAATAAACAAAAAGTTCAAAAACTTAACCCCCTCTCAAAATCTGAACATTTTCTCCGAAACTACTGGTCCAATTTTTTTCAAATTTGGATTTAAAGTCAGAAGTCACCCAAGGATGATCCTCCTTTATCGAAATTACTATCTGCCTTTACTTTTCAAGATGGCTGCCAAAAACTGCATTGCTATAGACTGTAGCACCTAAACGAATGTTCCAATTTTAATGAAACTTGGCCAAAATCTTCTTCTCGATAGCCTTTAAATGTATCTGTATATAACATACTTCATTGAAAAGAAGCTGGAAAAAAAGTTACGAAGGATGGTAAAAGTAGATTCCGAATAACTCAAAAAGTATACATTTTTTTGTAGATATTGTATGGTTATTTAAAAGTTTACGAAATTTCCTTTAAAAAATAAATCATTATAATTGGACAATTAGGAGCAAAGTCTCTAGATGTTTTTTACATGTTTTAGTGCAAAAGTTATATCCTTTGTTTTGTATTTTGATTTTTTAATATTTTACTTTAGTATGATATTTTTTTTAGAAAATTACTAATGTTTACCTAGTATAGAGCCAATAATTGGAATCACCTTTTGTTTCTTTTTCTCTGTCAGTAGTAAGGTAATGTTACTTTAGATGTTTAATTGTTTAGAAATAATAAACCATTGTGTAATAATTTTTATTGAATATTTTTTCTATGTCAATTTTCATTGAATATTTTTTCTATGTCAATTAGTTAATTATTCCTAAAAAAAAAAAAAAAAAAATTACCAGAATATATTGCACTAGTAATAGACACCCAAGTTTAGGGAACCAACTGTTTTTTTTTTATTTAATTAATAAAATCCAAAATAAATTCTGCACAGTTCTAAACTAAGAAATGGCAAACTAAAGATGACTAGATCAAGATTTAAAACTTATCACAAGTAATTTTTATCAGACCTGGGGAGGGAGACCCCCTGGGGCATAAAAAGTGGGTTCCCTTAATTTTAATAGTTAATTAACATGGGAAACATGGTAGCGGAGCGCGATCTCGGTCCGATCATCTCCATGCACAACCATTGATCTTAAAACAGTATTTTTTGACTAAGTACTAAACCCTTCATGGGTTGCTGTATTACACATATTTTTTTTTAGTTTATATCATCACTAATTCTGATTGGCTCGTTTTTTCGGAAAACATTTAACCTTCTTTAAAATGTAGAATTATAACGAGTCTTGCTTGTTGCTGAGTAAACAAACAGTTTCGATCAAACATTTTTATGATGAATCTTTACGAAATAGGTTCAATTCAAAACAACCCATTTTAATTTCTTTAGGTAATTAAATAATCAAATTTATATTTTTATAAAAAAAATTTAAATCATAAAAGCTAAGCTTATGATAAAATATTAAAGAAATCTCTATCAGCTATGGTTTCCTCACCATTTTATTGTATTGTATTTTTTTTTTTTTTAGTGTAATGGAGAGTCTGAAAGTACCACATGGAGCTGTCATGCTTCCGCAGAGCTACGACTTCTGTCTCAAAGAGAAGTAGGAGAGCCATTTTGTCGAAGTACGTATATATATATATTGAAATAATATTAGGAATTTTATACAGGATGTTTCAGGGTCAAGTGGCCATACTGCAAAAATGAACCATGGGCCTCAAAACAATAAAAAAAATTCCTCTGAAGGTATGTCTGTAAATGCTTTGTTAAACACAAGCAGATACTCACAACTGAAGATTTTCGTTAAGAATTATTTGTTCTAACTACTTTATTAATTAAATGTTAAACATTAACAGAGAATGGAAGAGGTCCACGACAATGGCTAAATGTTAATTATCCCAATCAATGGATTGGCTGTGCAGGACCAGTGGCTTGGCTTGCTCGCTCTCCAGACCTGACACCACTGGATTTTTTTGTTTGCAGTACATTAAACAAAAAGTCTATACAATTCCAATCAATGACCTTATTTCCTTACGAAGAAGGATAATTTTGAATCTTGAGAAACAATAACACATATCCAGTGCCGTTCTGCCACTGCTGCTATTGAAGAAAAAGGCTGAGCCTGTCTTAGTGCCCCAAGAAATCACTTTGGACAATATTTAATATAAATTTGATATTTACGTTTAATTAATAAAATAGTTGGAACAAATAAATAAGTTTTATTTACTTAATATAGCTTAAGTAATTCATAACAATGAAAATCTTTAGGTGGAAATATCTCCTAAACAAAGCGTTTGCCTACATACCTTGATAGGAATTTTTTTTATTGTTTTGAAGTCCTTAATTCATATTCGCAGTTTGGCCACTTCAATCTGAAAGATCCTGTATATGAAAAGATATTTAGTTTCATTTAATACATTACCACCTTAAAATAAAAACTGTTTAGTCAAATTTTTTTTTTTATATATTATGGGTGCTTGTGGGTCATCCTCAGGGCTAAATTTCAATTAAAAATAATAGATGTGACATATAAATGTAGTACATAAATGGAAATAAATAAACAACAAAAAAAATATTAATTTAATTGTCTATTTCAGACACAATCCGTTTCATTTTTACTGATCATGAGTTGAGAATGGTATTGAATGCATTGTTCATAGATGCATCTTTTAGTACAAAAAAAAAACATGTATACATATCTCATTCATTGAAAAAATCAATTCAAAACATTTGCTCTTAATGAAATGTTCATATTGCCATTACATTAACACTGGTTGTAGGATATTAACCAGTTTTAATTATTCTTATAATAACAACAAATTACTGTTTGTCTTCATCAACATCACTTTTTTTTTCTAAGGTATCCTTTTCTTCACTTTTTCATTTATTTTTTCTTCAAAATAGATTATATTTGGTGGAGAAATAGTCGACTATAGCTAATGCGTTTTAGATATAAAAATACAGCAAAGAAAGATAATCTCAATTAGAACCAGAGGGTGAGGTAACATTACTAAAGAACTGAGATACAGAGAAAATCAAGAAGGTTATAATGTTTTTTTTTTTTACAAAAACACGATGCAAAATTTAGTGTAGTGAAAAAAGAAAGAATCAGAAGGAATATCATATTTGTATATGTACACACATTTCTTTAAAAATGTAGATTGGCCAAATAGGGCTTATATCAAATCTTGATGGTCACTTTTATTGTGGCGTAGGGAGGAGTAGGTCCCATCGCCTGCTCAAAGTACCGCGGATATTCTCTGGCCCTCCAGCTTGGGGGAACAGTACATGTATTAATAAATAAATGAATGGTTGTCATTTTTCATTAATTTAAATTATTTTTGTTGATTTTACATTGGTATAGTACTTCTTTTTTTTCAATAAAAGATTGTGTATTTAAGTTTTTTTTTTTTTTTTTTTCAATAAAAGATGGTGTATTTAAGTATTAGGAAGACTGGAAAGTAATGTTTTCTTACATTAAATTCAATATAAATTTTACACAAGTTTTTATTTTTTTATTTTACTTATTGATGGAATCGCCCTTTTCATCAACAACCTTTTGCCATCTAATGTTTAAATTTTCGATGCAGGATTGATTAAAATCAATTGGTTTTTGAGCAAAATACATAGAGATGGCATATAGAGTTGCAGTGGAGTGGGTGCCCGGTCACTTGGGCATACTAGGCAACGAGGAGGCTGACGAACTAGCCAGATTGGGCTCAGATACCATTCCTGTAACTCCCGAGCCTGTCTGTGGAATCAGCCTCAGCACTGCCAAAAGTAGGATCAGGGAGATGTATGGGAACAAATTTAGTAATTACTGGACTGACAAGAAACATCGACATTCGAAGCTGTTCCTAAAAGGTCCATGTGAAAAAAGAAGCAAACTGCTACTGAGTATGGACAGAGCAGCCCTTAAAAAGCTTACAGCGATCTATACAGGTCACTGTAAGCGAAATTACCATATGTTCAATCTCCGAGTAATGACGAATCCACTATGCAGATTCTGTCAGGAGGAGAATGAAACAGCCTTCACATCATGTGTAGATGTGATAGATTCACAAGGCTGAGACTGGTAGTATTTGGGGAGAAACGAATGGATCTCCCCAGTAGTTATGACAATCCAACCAGCCTACTTAGATACGCGGAAGCGACTAGAATTACGTTTTGATTAAAAACAGCTAACTGAAATTGGTACACAATGGACCCATTAGGGGTCGACATGCCCAGGGCCAACATTGGGAAGAAAAAAAAAATAACCAGATTATTGTTTAAAATAAAATAAATCAACGCTGTGACATTAACAAGCGTAATAGAATATTTGCGCAAGTTTTTAAATTCAGCGGTAATTCTATTGAAGGATTTCATCAGTAGATTGAATTCGACAGCAATGGATAGCTATTCGTGCTTAGCTTTAGGAACAAAATTATGGAATCTAGTGGAAGGTCAAAGAACTCACTCAAAATATACTGATTTGTTGAATTTAAAAATAGAAATAATTATAGATAACAAGTCAAATAATAATTAAGTTAATTGAGAAATAACAATAGTGAGGTTATATCCAGTGGATCCACCAACCCCCAAAAGCCTATGAACCTGCTTAGCCATCCATGATTCAATCGCTGAGTTCCATCGATGAGCTCAGTCTAAGTTTAGGAACTTGATCTTTTATTGATGTTACGAACAATGCATACAACCATACCTGACCGCTACACTGAAAATTTAAAAAAATATAGTTATTTATTATTTTATTTCTAATGCTTCAAATTAAATTATACTAAATACATTTTATATTTTTAGAAATCCAACATTTATTCTACAGTAAAGAAAATGATTGGGGATTTAGTCACTTTATGGCTTGGAATGAAGTTTTAGATCCAGAGAAAGGATATATTAAAGATGATAGTATCATTCTTGAAGTAAGTTTTTTATTATTATTTTAATTATTATTTAAAGCTTTTCTACAATAATCTACAGTGAGAAATATTATATTGATGTCCATTTTCTTATAGGTCCATGTAACTGCTGATGCACCTCATGGCGTTAGCTGGGACTCGAAAAAACATACAGGTTATGTAGGTTTAAAAAATCAGGGTGCTACCTGTTATATGAATTCTCTTTTGCAAACACTTTACTTTACAAACGAACTTAGGAAGGTAATAATCTAATATGAAAAACTGATTAATTTAATTATATCTATAATTTATCAATTTGTTAATTAACTCTTTTATGTTTTGTTTTACATAGGCTGTGTACAAAATGCCGACTGAAAGTGACGATTCTAGTAAGAGTGTTGCCTTAGCTTTACAAAGAGTTTTTCATGAACTGCAATTTAGTGATAAGCCTGTCGGTACGAAGAAACTGACTAAATCTTTCGGATGGGAAACACTTGATTCATTTATGCAACATGATGTTCAAGAATTTCTTAGAGTTGTGAGTTGTTATTTTTTTTTTTACTTTACATTATGTATTGTATTACATTTTTCTATACTAATTGTGATTATTCTTTAACACCCAACCCTTAATTGGCCAAGCATCATACAAATTAAATGTTTAAATGTGTTTTTGTAATATTTAGTTGCTAATATGCTAATATAATCATCAAAATCAATGTTTGGGTTTATAAATCTTCAACTGTTTAGCAAATGATGATATGTCCAAGTGATGTATTTACTTATCTGGAAGTGATGATTAGAAAAAAATTCGACATGAAGCCCCCTTCAGCAGGCTATGCTTCAGCAGACAGTTCTGCTGCGATTTCCCCAGGTAGTACAAGTCAGTAGAAGGGTTACCTCTCTACTTATTCCTATATGAGGATGTTCTTGAATTTAAAATGAAGAGAGAAGGCTCAACAGGTCTACCAGAAATTTTTTTGGCAAAGGCGGATTTCTAGCATTGCGAAAAGATTATCCAGGAGGATACGTTAGATGAACGGAACTGGCGGTGAGTAACAATCGTGAAAGGGGCCACCCCGAGATGGCTCAACAGGTCTACCAGAAAATTTTTTGGCAAAGGTGGATTTCTAGCATTGCGAAAAGATTATCCATGAGGATACGTTGGATGAACGGAACTGGCGGTGAGTAACAATCGTGAAAGGGGCCACCCCGAGTGAATGGAGGGGAAGAGCCACTTTAACTGAGTATGGGAGTATCTCAGGGCAACAATTACAAATCTTACGCAGTTGTGTAATTCAATCTAAGACCAAAGGGACCATTTTCAGGAAGGTTACCCGTCAATGAAGATGGTGCTGGAAACTATGAAAAAAAAAATTGTATGGCATCTACCAGAGAAGCATCTCCCCTTCATATTGTATTAAATTAAATTATGAAATTTAAAATTATAGATTTCTGAAATTGGAAAAAAGTATATGCATCCTTCGGCCTATTAAGGGTTAAAAGGAAATTACAAAATAAAAATTGTCTTTTTTATTTCAAATTAATCTTATTTGTCCTCATGCTTTTTATTATTTTTTTTTTAGTTATTAGATAAATTAGAAAGTAAAATGAAGAGAACTTGTGTAGAAGGCACTGTACCAAAGCTTTTTGAAGGCAAAATGGTGGTATGTATAATTTAATTTTGATTATATAATATTATAATACAAAATAATATATCGTTTATATAATAATATTATATTATTATCATATAGTAATATTATTTTTTATATATCTTTGACAACAATTTTTTTTTCTAATTTCTAGTCATTTATCAAGTGCAAAAATATTGAATACAAATCTACGCGCATGGAAACTTTTTATGATATCCAACTCAACATCAAGGGGAAGAAAAATAGTATGTCATTCATCTTATATAAATTAATTTACTGCAAGTTATGGATTATTAATACAAATTTATGTTTTCCTTATTAGTTACCGAGTCATTTAATGACTACATAACCGCTGAGGTTTTGGACGGCGACAACAAATATGATGCTGGTGAGCACGGCTTGCAGGATGCTGAAAAGGGGGTTATATTTTCAAAGTTTCCTCCGGTTCTCCATCTGCACCTAATGAGGTTCCAGTACGACCCTATGACCGATTGCTCAGTTAAATTTAATGATAGGTAATGAAAAAAGAATTTTAAAATTGGACCAAATTTTGTTTTCAGAGGCAGAAAAAGAAAAGTGAGAAGAGCTCTAGGTGCTGAAAATTTTATAGCTCTTATCGAAAATTTAACATATTAATATTTTCTTAAATTATTTTATGATTTTTTTTTTTTTAACCTTTACGTTCATTTTATAAATCAATCATTGGATTGAGGTCAATAAAATTGGTCGATATCAATTTTTTAACTGAATTTTATCATAATTATTGTTATTGGTGAAACCAGGTAGGCATTATTTCTAGTCCGTTTTACAGACCTCTTTTTAGCAAATTATTAACATCCAGCTGAAACTTCGTGTATAGCTTTATCTCATCGTAATCTACAAATATTTTATTGACAAAAATTCTTAGAATTGGGCCATTTTCAATCTGGTGGTCGGCAAACTTTGTTTATTTAATTAGGAATTCATAACTCGTAAATACCCATTTGCTTTCCACTTGAATCGTAAGATACCTTCCACACTAAGTTGGGAGAAAATTGAGCCGTTGGGTTTGACACCCCCAAATCGTCAAAATAACGAGGTTATATAGGCCAAACGGTCCAATATTTTTGTATGCCACCATTTTTATCTTATTGATTTTTGTGAATAAATCATCTTACGAAACAAGTGGAAAACAAATTTTTAGTACCTAATTAAATAAACAAAGTTTGCCAACCTCCAGATTGAAAAAAAAAAACACACCAATTCCAAGAATTTTCATAAATAAAATATTTGTAGGTTACGATGAAATGAAGCTACTTACAAAGTTTCAGCCGGGTGTTAATAATTTGCTAAAATGGTGTCTGTACCACGTACTATTCTAGGGAGGAAAATTATCAATGCTCTTGATAATTTATACTTTTTTGTCCTTAAGAGTTTATTTATAATTATTTTGTATCATCTGTTTTTTTAGGTTTGAATTTACTGAGAAAATTAACCTCTCTGAATATTTACAACAACCAGAATCAACTCCTGCTATATATACCCTCCATGCAGTTTTGGTTCACAGCGGAGACAATCATGGAGGTCATTATGTTGTTTTCATCAATCCTAAAGGCGATGGCAAGGTAAATATAGATTATTAAATAAAAAACATTATTTTTGCTTAACTATTCATTAAATACATAATATTTTAAGAAAGTATTGCGATAGTAAATTTTCAATAGAAATATGCATTTTAAAATATTCCGAGTGCAAACAAAAACCAGCTAGCTCATTGTATTGTATAAAAATTAAATTATACATTCAAGATATAGTATAGAGTACAGGTGAGGAACAGTCAGGCAGCAATAAGTGCTCTAAATAATTATTATGTATGCTCAAAGGTTGTTAAAGAATGCTGCATAGCACTTAATAATCTGACTGAGCTTAGTAGATTGGCTGCCTGGTCACTTGCGCATTCTAGGCAACGAATAGTCAGACAAAATAGCCACGTTCGGCTCAGATATTATTCCCATAACTCCTTAACCTGTCTGTGGAATCAGTCTTAGTACTGCCAAAAATAGGATTAGGGAGATATATGGTAACAAGTCTAAGCAACACTGGACTGAGAAGAAACAACGACATTTGAAGCTGTTTGTTAAAGATCCATGTGATAGAATAAGTAAACTACTACTAAGTTTGGACAGAGCAGCTCTTAAAAAGCTTACACCAATCTACAATGGCCACTGTAAGTTAAATTATCGCATGTTCAATCTCTGAGTGACAACGAACCCTGTATGCAGATTCTATCAGGAGGAGAATGAAACAGCCTTTCACATCGTTTGTCGATGTGATAGATTTGCAAGGCTTAGACTGGAGCTATTTGAGGAAGAACCGATTGCCCCAATAGCTATAGCTATGAAACTGCCAATCCAGCATACCTGTTAAAATACACGGAATCGGTCAAACTAATGTTTTAAGAATAAAACGGATTGCATAATGGCGCACAATAGATCCATTAAAGGTCGTGGTGCATTAAACCAAAAAAAAAAAAAAAAAGTAAGGAATCTGTGTCTTTCAAAGCCACATGTGGCATATGTATGAATAATCCATTATAGATTTGGGAAATAAAGTGTCTTGTAAAACCCATTAAAATATCATATCCCAACAATGGATAGAGATATTGGTAGGGCTGGACTACTTTTTTTTTTGTACACTGTCTTCCCTTTAATTATTGACATTTTCTCTTGGAACACATTACATATTTTATTTTTTATGATCTTTATGTTGTTACTTATCTAGGGTTTTTCTTTTTTGTTCTAGTGGTGCAAGTTTGATGATGATGTCGTTTCTCGTTGTTCTAAACAAGAAGCAATCGATAATAACTTCGGCGGTCATGATGATGATATGAATATGACTGTGAAACATTGTACAAATGCATATATGCTTGTTTATATTAGAGATTCAGAACTTGCGACAGTTCTTCAAGATGTTACAGAGGAAGATATACCTCAAGAGGTAAGCATTATTATTATTATTTATTATGTAATATATATTTAGTTCGGTTATTAGCTTATTTAATTTAATATTATTTTTCCCCCTTTTTTAGTTGGTTGAAAGGCTGCAGGAAGAAAAAAGGTTGGAACAGATCCGTCGAAAGGAGAGAGCCGAAGCTCACCTTTATATGACTGTTCAGGTAGTCTTAGAAGATACCTTCGATGGCCATCAAGGGAATGATCTATATGATCCGGAGAGAGCCCATTATAGAGTTTTCAGAGTTAAGAAGCAACTCACTCTTCAAGAATTCATGGAGCAACTCTCAGAAACCTTGGTAAAATTTTATTGTTAATTACTGAGATCAATGATAATAATTGTGATCTTGTTATTACTCTTTTCCTTTGGTTGGTTGAGGTGCGACTTGATATCTTTTAAGAATTAAGATTACCTTAGAAGGTCAATAGTAATGCTAAGAAAATATTGAATAATAATAATGCAAAATGTGGTCATACTAATGGAATGATGAAAATATTGAACAATACCTATTTTGTCTTTCAATATTTGGCCATGCCTCTAAAATATTGTTAAACTTCTCTAATAGGAAGGCATATTGACAATCCTATATATTATTTCTAAAAGGTGTTTTTTTGTCAGTACATCATAAACTTCATCAAATCCAAATATTGACCACTTATTTTGAAGATATTCTCCTTCATATGCGAAAAATAGTCATATCCCTCCCTCTTAAATTTCTGAGGGGAAAGGTATAAACGAAAAGATATTTTATTTTGGTTTCTTTTACAGTTCCGATATATTTTTTATTTTATATATTTCAATAAAGCAAGGGAAGTAAGAAGAGACCAGAGTAGCTCAGTGAGTTAGGCACTGGGCTGCTAAGCTCTAGGTCCCGGATTGAAATCCAGCTGATATGAAGTTTTTCTCCCAGTCTCTACAAAGTGGGTACTGGGTAGTATCTACTTTAATATTATCATCTATCAATATTAATATTTTAATTTAGAAATAAAAATTAAAACTATTGTTTACGAATTCGACTGTTAGATAAAAAAATTATGTACTTATCTAGAATCCGGTTGGGACGAAACCTCCCTTCTTATCTCGTGTAAACTGTGAGTTATTACATTGTGTATTTTTGTTGAAATGGATGTTATTCCATTGTGGTGGGAAATGCCGTCTTCAGAAGAAGAGTCTATCGAATATTTTCAAAATGCCGGGATAATTGCAAAGGTGAAATTCTGTGAAGGTCATGAAATGAAGTTCGACAGGAAGACGAAATGGAGGTGCTTCTGTACCACTTGTAAGAAAAACGTATCTATAAGGAAGGAACATGGTTAGAAGGGTCGAAGATTTCGTTTTCAACAGCTTTAAAATTAATTTATTAATTTAGTCTCACAATTTAAGAACGATACAGCGAGGCAAAAAGCAGCTGAAATTATCAAATACAACTATGATAAAGTGGAACAGATTTTTAAGAGAGGTTTGTGCTCATAACATGTTATGCAGGTCAAGTAAAAAAAAAATTGAGGACCTGGCAAAGTCGTTAAAAAAGAAGTCTTTTTTTTCTAAAAGAAAAAATCATGTACGGGGAGTTCTCCCTCAACAATGGATGTTTGGCGGAGTTTGCCAAGAAACAGGCTAGTATTTCATCATCAAAATAAAGGACAGAAATATATGTTGTAAAATAAAAGTGTTTTGTTATTATTACATTTCTTTTTGTCTATTTGTCCGTTTCATGTAGAATATAGTGCGCAATAGAAGAAAATATTGACTTTTGATCTACCATCTATAAGTAGAGTTGAACAGAGAGTGTGGTGGGTTGAACCTTCTCAAACCAAGGCCACGAATTGTCAAAGAAATCTATATAGGATGTAGTAAATAAATTAGCATTTCGTCGAATCCAATCTCTAGGTGGATGGAAGGCATAATTTGTTAAATGGAAATTTCTGGATAAAAGCTGATGATGACGAAGATAGACAGAAACTAGAAAATTAATTTTATTTAGGAGGGTAGAAGAATTGATATTTCCATTAATTAATTTGGTACTTTTTGTCTAAGCGGCCGCTACTGACTGCTATCTGCCAATGTTTATAACCTGAACACTGATAGCTCCCATAACGCAGTGATAAGCCTTCTCCTACTTCACATGTTCGTATTATTGTATTAAATTCGTATCATTGAAAGTTTCGTATAAATTTCGTATAAACAGATACAAAAATAAATGTAATAACAACAAAAATACTTTTATTTGACGACAGATATATTAATGAAATAATAAAAAAACAAATTTAAAAGAACATATTTACTTAGAAAAGAAAAAATATCAACACTATAAACAACGTATATACAAATTATTTTTAGTTAATTATTCACTTCCACACTTGTCTTATTTATTTTGGAAGGCAAAATTGTTTTATGCTACTTAAAATAGCGAGGAACGGGTCCTCGTCTCTGTGAACCCGCTGCCACAAAAATTTGTACAAATATGAATCGAGGTGTTGTCTGGCAGTTCCTCTATGTACTTTATTTCTCCACTTAGCTGAGCCCCACAATCGTTCTATGTGTTGAGTATGAACCCCAGTTGATGGATCGACAAAATTATACCGGTGATTCACTTGGAAATGGTCATAATTTGCTTCGTTCAGTTGTCGGGTGTTGTATCCTTTCCAACAGTCCGAATAAATGGTCGTTCCCTCTTCTATATTTTCTTTAATGGCTTGTAATAATGTTGTTGTCTTTCTGTCAATTATTTTGAGGATAAAACATTCATCTGTTTCTCGGCAAACTCCATCAAACATCTACCAATGATAAGCCAGCAAGTACCCCAACATTTTGAAAATACTGAATTGCCTGTTCTTCTGAAGACGGTAAATCCCATATTCTAAGAAGATCCATAATATCCATAATACGACGAAAATAAACGAAAAAAAAAAATGTAAAATAAACACGTCACAAACTAAAAAAAAAAGTAAAATAAACACAAACGGACCAAAAACTAAAAATAAACACAAACAGGCCAAAAGTGAACAATTTAATAAGTGAACGTAATAAGGGAATAACTGAAAACTAAACAATGCAATAACTCAAAAGTTTGGCGGGTTAAGAAGAGGGAGGTTATGTGACATGATGACATGACGTTAGATAAGATAGATAAGAAGTGAGGTTTCAAAACGGCCGCTTAGACAAAAAGTACCATTAATTTAAAGCGGAAAATAACATATTTTTTAATATGCCCATGTGCTAGAGAATCAATATTTATATTGATATGATATTCATATTTCAAAAATGTTTATAATATCGATGTTTATCGATGCTGGGCTTTCAATATCTCATCTCTACTTCCCGCATAATCCTAACAGTATTTCCTAACCAAGTATTGAACCCAAAATCCTTCATAGTTTGTAGTCGTACAGATGTATATATATATATATATATATATATATATATATATATATATATATATATATCAAAAAATATAAACTGCTTTCAAACAGCCTTTTTAATATTTTAACATGTGAAAAATCTATAATGAATCTTTTAAGTTGTGTTGAAATGTTTTTTTTATTTTCAGAGGTATCCAGTCGAACAAATGAGGCCATGGCCTTTAAGCACGAGAACTAATATGACCTACCGCCCTACAATGTTAGACATTGAGGGAGAATTGCATCGAGCGATGCAGGTAAATATTGGCCTTAATGCTTTTGATTTTACCAATTTAACTTTTTTTCCATGTTTTTGGTAGTTTTTCCATTACTGCTTACAATTTAATTAATCAGTGGGGTGTAAAATTTTCCAATGAAAGCCTCGACATTTGAATCGGATCTAGAAATGAGGCATCGTTTCGTTCCATCCCACAATAAAAAATAAAAAAATCACTTGAAAAATTGACAAAACTATGTGACTATATTTTCTTTACCTGATATGTAAGGGTTATACAGGGTCGAGACCGATCTAATGACCTTGAAGGGGTAAACATCATTGTTATAAACAACCATGGTTAAGTCATCAAATAAGGGTAATGAATAAAATTTAAGTGAAACTGTCTTAAAACAGTGTTTTTTTAAAAGAAAAATATACTATCAATACAATTTACTATTTATAATATACATCTGGGTCAAAACCTGGCGGGCATGCACTCATTCGTTCGATCCATGGTGCGTGCTCCTTATAAGAGCATTTATTAATCAGAAATGCTATAGATGGTGTCATTTGGGTAATTATCATGCTGTTTATAATAATAAAGAAAATAAATTATTTATGAGAAACTACATAAATATTAGAATCCCCCATAGCTCACTTCATTTTATAATAGAGGAAATTAGAGCTTTATATGTCCAGTATCAATTTTTACCTCTTCTCAGTTTATTTAAATAAAATTAAAGTGATAGAAATAAATTATGAAAAATTAGTTTTCTAAAATAAAAAACCCTAATCAAGCTCAAAAAATGCATCCTCTAAAACATTATATTTGTTATTTAAGGCTGATTTTCATAGTAGATCAGGATTTTTTTACCATTTACAGTCTCTATAATATCTTAACAACTTTATTTGAAAAGTAACTTTCAGAGTCTATGCATCATATTCATCTAGATAATATATCATATTCGTATAAATCGAAATAATACTTGAAAATTTTCATAGATAACGGGTGTTTGTAAATATGATAATGTAATTCTGTTATAGAAAATAAATGTTCGTTGCATAATATATTTTATTCAGTATATTTTCCATTGGTAGTTACATATGTTTGCCATCTCTATGGCAATTTATGAATTCCATGTCTAAAAAACTGTTGCTCTTAAGTTGTGAAGTTCTGCTAAGGAAGTGCATGCTGCAGGCGCTAATATTTCCCAGCCGAATGCCTCAGTCGTATCCTTTTTTGGTTGTATTTTTTTTTTTTTTTTTATTCTGTTAGTTTTTCACATAATACTCGATTCAAATCAATCATTTGTTGTCGTTAGCGTTCAGTATTAATTGTTTTGCTAGGTTTTAGCACCTCCTGATAGATCACACCCTTTTGATCCATCCCTTTCTTACTTTCCTTAGTGACTTTGCCAGGGAATATACAGTCACGTTCTTAGAAATTGCATTACATTGTAAAAAATTTATTACCAGATTGCTATCTGCAAGATGTCCTGATATTTCTTTGCCAGTTATGTAATAATATTCGAAAAAAAATTGCACCATTAAGCAATCAATTTTTTCCCCCCCTCAAAACTAAGACTACTGTTGATTGATGGTATCCTATTCTCGTTACTATTTCCTATGAAAATTCCTTTACTTCATCTTCATGTAACGTCACAATTTTTATATTTTCTGATGAGGACAGGTTTTTATTGATACAGGTCATAAATACATCTTTTATCCTGACATTAGTTAAAACTGAACTAAGAAACATTGTTTCTTATAACCGTAATAAGTAAAGATAAACAAAAACATTCAATCGAATCAGCGTCCAACACTAGAGTCAAAAGAAATAACTGATGCAATTTCTATATCCACGACTGTATTCTGATACTTTCCTCGAGTTACCCGTGATCTTCGACACGTTAGATTCTCAAAATATATCCACTTTTCATCACTTGTCACAATTTGATGGACATGTGACTTTCATGAAATTATCCTCAGGTAAACATCAATGAAACAAATTTTCATATGTCGGAAAACCTTTTTCTTTTTTTTTTTTTCATTATTAGTATATTTTGAAAGTTATTTTGATGTTAATTGATTGTATTCCCATATACATTTTCTTTTTTAATATAATCTTATTCTTTTTAGTTATAATTAATTTTTTCATGTTGTAGGATATTGCTGAATGCGCAAATCCATGGAACATATTTTTAGAAATCTTATCGCCAGATGCTGGTCTCAATGCTCTTCCTCCCTTCGACAGAGATTCTGATGCCCTTCTATTTTTCAAAATGTACGATCCGAAAACGAAAAAAATATATTATTGTGGTCACCATTACATGCCCGTAGCATCTAAAGTCTGTAAGTTAATTATTTGTATGTTTGTGTTATACTGATGTAATATCAGTAGTACTATTGAATTATTATATCATTCAAAAAAAATTATTTCTTTAGTGTTTTAACCCTTTCATAGGATTCTTTTCGTAAATTTTAGAAAAAATAAAGGGATTAGTTTCAGGAAGTTATATGAGTATTAAAAAAAAAATTGTTTTCTTATAAAAATTTTATGTTAGAACATACATGGGATATTTTTTTCCAATAATCTAATCTCGATCAACAATCTTATCCAGGTTTAAATTATTTTATAGTAAAAATATAATGTATATAAAATCACAGCAGAGATAGTGTCTTATTTTTTTAAATTTTAGTCATTTATTAATTAACTCTAAAATTATTATCCATAAAATTGTATATTTGAATAAATGGTTAAGCATTACTTATAATTATTTTATTTTTCAGGTGAGCTTATACCGATATTAAATGAAAGAGCTGGGTTTCCTCCCGATACTGAACTATGCCTTTATGAAGAGATAAAACCAAATGTAGTCGAATTAATTGATGGAAGAAATGATCCTCTCGAAAAGGTGCAGTTAACTTTTGATTTACCATTTCTAAGACGTTATTACTTATTATATAGTCATTTTGTTAGACCTTATATGAAGCTTGCAAATTGAATTAGAGATAAGATTATTCTAGTGAGAGTCTGATGTGGTGTATGAAATTAAATGTATATATTGTATTAGGCTTCTTGTCCACTATAATAAACAAACTACTATTCCACAAAGCTATATTAACCAAAACTAGTTGTCACTCTTTGTAGTACTAATATTTTTTAGAGTGTCTTACATGTAAAATATATTTTCTTAATTGTATTATTGAGATGGCGTTGTGCTAAACTTGACCTTTCTTACAAAAAAAATATAATTCATTTATTAAAACAATGAAAACCTTTAAGCAGTTCCTAAGATTCCACGATTCTATGCCCCTAAAAACCTGTCGGCTCCTAGTTTTCTCTCTCATTTTTCCTCAATTCGATTATGGATGCCTTGTATACGGTGGACTGTCTGGTGGGCTCGAGATCAGATTGAAGAGACTAATGAATTGTTTCATTAGATTCATCTTTGGAGCCCTCAGGCGCTCACACGTCTCCAACTGGTACGCCGAACTGAAGTGGTTTTAACCACCTTCCCGATGGCAATATTTCCTACGTGCGTTTCTTTCCAAACCTTTACAGCAACAAAAAAACATTCCTATCTTCTTGATCTGTTTACTCCTCGTTCTTCTGTCCATTCATTCAATATGAGATCCCAGCTCACTAACCCGTTCATTCCTTTTCATAGAGCTGTTTCCTTTAAAAAAAAAAAACTTTCTCATATGTGCTACCTTGTTTTGGAATTCCCTGTCTGCTTTCGTGTAAGCAAATCCTCATCCTTAATTTCATTTAAACACCATTTATTTATCCATCTCAGCAATCAATCTTCCGAATAATATTTTTATGTTTTCTAGAGCAGTCACCTCATTTTACTATCGTCTTACAGATAACTATATATTACCTATTGTTTATATGTAAACACACTCTTATATATCTATCTATAATCCAAATGTTAACTTGTGCCTTTCTTTATTTTAACTTCAAGACTCAATAGCATTGTAATTAAATTAACAACTAGAAGATGTCACTAAATTGTTCATTATTATTCTTAGGACGCTGAATGCCCCAGAATAAAATTTACTTTTCTTTCTTTCCTTAAAAAAAAAAAAAAAAAAACTGGGTGCCATACCATCCAATAGTCATATGTTAATTAGATGTAACGACCTATTGTTCAATCTCGTTTAATTTGATGCCCATAGACGGACGAATTCATGTAGTAATCTCTAAGGTGTTTTGTTTTTCTTTATGGGATGCATCATGACCTGGTCAGACCTATTGGGCACTATAATTTGTCCGCTGTTTACTTTAAAATATCAATTTATAACTAATCAATAGCATTAGCAAACCGTAGCAAAGACTTGTTGGTTTAATAAGCTCTAACTAGCTGACCGGAATAGATAGTGATCCTATTCCCTTTCGGCCCTGCCCATCTTTAAGCCTCAAACTACATAGACTCGGCCTGTTCTTCTCAATTGTTCACAATAATTTCCATTGGCCTTCATCAATTTCCTCCAAAATTGCAGAACGTAAGTTTAAATTAGACATGCTATTAGTAGCTCTCGTCTGTACTCTCCTACCTCGAGGTGTAATAAATAGATGTCTAGCATTACTTACATAGTAGTTTGTGGTACAGACCCTTTTTTATCAAATTATTAACATTCGCCTGAAACTTCATGAATAGCTTGATCTCATCGTAACCTGCAAATACTTAATTTAAAAAATTCTCGGAATTGAAGCGTTTTCAATCTGGTCCCAACATTCAATGGGAGATGAGTGTTAAAGGCACTGTACTTCCTTGATCCAGGTCCTGGGTCCAGATGTGCAAGAGTAATTATTTGTTCTGTTACATCAACCATGGATTGATCTGTTGGGACACGCTCAGCCTTTATAAACAGGGTACTCTTATTTATTAATCAAGGCAAAAAACCATGGGTTTTTAATTAACTATTAATTATTCAATGCAAAATAACCATGAGCTTTTAATTAACTGTACCTATCGTAACATCCCTCTTATATTTTACAAATAATAATAATATAACCTCGGAAGCTCACTTCTTACCATTGGGATACTTCCTAAATAAATAAGAGGTTGTTAAATAATAAACAAAATTATAAGAGAATTAATATATTTATTTATCTCAGGTGTGGGTTACTGACAATCAGATCAACTCAGACAAACTATTATTATTTACATTATTTATACTGAAATTAAACACTGATTTTATAATAAATTCTAGTATGGATTGGCAAGCTATAGATACTATTTCTTCCTCTGTTGCACTAAATTCATTTGTCTTCAAATGCTCTCGAATGTTTTGCCAAACACAACTTCCAAGATGGTAATACTATTTCTGGGTTTTACCCACTGGAGCCAGGATCACTTCTCCTATCCTCTCTTCACTGCAGCCACACAACTGTTTGCCAAAACCAAAACCTTTGTCCCTCTCCTCTTTGGGATTTTCCATCTTGGGAAACTACAGAGCAGCCATTTTCTTTTCCCTGCACTAGTAGAACTACATTAGCTTGTCTTTTAATTGTTCAATATTAATTTATTAAACTCTTTTTACTCACTTTCAATAAAGGTGTACATTACAGTATATATATTGTAACGTTACGTTCTCTTGAAAAAGAAAAACAAAAAAGTTCCTTAATCAAATAATATTTATTATATATGATAACTAATTCTCAGGTTGGGTTGAGACAACTTACACACATTCCTCAAATATATAATACAAAGGCATACATTAATTTTATATAACTTATTTATGAATTTCCATTGTTTTGTCGGGGTCTAATCTTGGCGAGCTTTTTTGAACTGTCTGTTTATATTTCACTCATCCTGTTCTGCAGTGAATCTTCCTCGGCATTGTATCCAACTTCTACAACCTTCTCTTGTTCTTCTATTATCTTGTCTTCGTCTAGTTGTAGTCGCTCAATACTAGTCAACTCTCATTTTCTTCTCACCAATCACATCTTTACTAGCCGGCTGGCTACCTTCTGCCTCTCATCTTGAACTCTTCCCCCACCATCTTCTTTGTCCATTTTTGACAGTAGTTCATGACATCACTACCTTCGCGCCACTATTCAAAATTATTATGTAATATTTACATTACATTCTCCTCCATTCCAGTTTAAAAAAAAATAAAAATGAAAATTCGTGATTCGGTGAAATATTTACATTTTTTTTTTTTTTTTCATATAAAATAATAAACTTAATATTTGACATTCACACTAATTACAATGACATTCACACTATTTACAATGGATTTCCCAACCTTGTTAGCAAATATTTACAATTTAATGTACAAAATTATTGAATTCTTAAAACTATATTACCTTAATCTTCATACATTAAAACAGGATTTTTATTTTAATTCTTCATTTGTTTAACAATAATAATTCCAGAGTAATAATTTATAACAAAACATAACATTTTTTAAAGTATTTCTTTTTTAATTGCACAGCACGAAATATAATCATATTTAAATAATAAAAATAATCAAGTTTATTTACAATACAATGAGGCATGTTTAATAGTATAGCATAAGATAATTTTTTTTGGAAGGAGAAAAAGAACATTCATGAAGTCAGCCTGAGGAATCCTTAATAATGGTACCAATAACTTATCTGTATCATCCGGATCTACGTTTATCCCTCCTGAGGAGAAGAGTTCGATTCTCCCACCATCTGTCATTCTTTGTCCATTTTAGCAGTAGTTCGTGACGTCTCACTAACTTCGCGCCACTATTCAAAATCACTATGTAATATTTACATTAAAATATATGTATATATATTGATAGATATAGGTATACACAACATTTTAAATGATAACCAGTACTTTCTTATAAAGTACTAAACCCTCCCCTCCCCTCCCACCCCCCAAAAAATCTCCCATGAGTTGTAGAAACGCAAATATTTTTTTAAGTGAAAACTCCCTTAGTGTTGGTTTTCCACTTTTTTTGTGAAGAGTAAATTAGATTGAGCCATCAGATTTCCGATCTGTAACGCTCAGGTAAGTTGGCTGGAGTCGTCTAATTGGAGTGTATTTGCATATAGATTAAAATATCTCTAAAACTAAAAACTGACCTGCATATTGTTAGTGAGGGAAATGTTCATTGTTTCTTCCTCTTTGTAATAGAACTATTGTTCAAAATTGTATCTTGACGCGACGACGTGTTAAAGAGGCGAAAAGGGGAAAAAATAGTATCGATAACCAAATGATAAAAGAGTTTTATAGAAGATATAGATTAAAATATCAATGAAACTAAAAATCGGATCTGCTTACTATAGGTGAAGAAATTGTTCAGCATTTCATCCTTTTTATAATGAGCTATTATTCATAATTTATATTTCATATTATTAATCTAGTCTTGTTGATGTTTTCATTTCTATTGTGTGGTCTAAAGCACAAACCTTAGTTGTTGTTTTTTCTTTCCTACTAATTTTCTGTTTTTGTTATCAATCCTATAAATCTGTTGCTTGCTATGTTGTAGTTTTCTGTTAATCTACAGATATCATCCTGTACAGTTATATTACTTCATATCTCTATCACTTAACGCAGAGTAGTCAGTGTATAAATAATTTTTATTAAAATTCGTATGATTGGCTATTAGCTATTTTTATGCTATATTCCAGCTCTCCACATAATCTAGATTTTCTAGAGTTTATAACAAACATAAGCCTAAGTTTAAAACCTAATTTGCCTTAAGAAGGCCAAAATTTAACACAAATGTGTTAGGTTCAGGGAAGAAATAAACGGAATCAAGTTTTGGCTGAACTTCAGACACTTGATGGAAAACCGAAGGTACACAACACGTATGCTATTAATATTTATTAAGTTATCTGTAATTGATAAGCTTTTTATTACTTTGAGTTTTTAGTTAGGAGACGACTTGAATTCAGTCGTTTAAAATATAATTTTGCAGCTTAATTTTATTTGTTTTGTTTTTTTCTTCCTCATACTAATGGATACTATACCACATCACACCCTAAAATTAACTTGAAAAATATACATGGAAAGATTTTTCTTAAATCTTTCGGACGAATAACCCTGATGTAGGCCTAAAACTTAGCCTTATTGTCGCCACGTAGAAAATAATAAATTTTTGTGTACTTCACTGATTCCCAGCACCAACTTCTAATAAAATTTATATAATTTCAATTTTCCAAGCGATTTTGATAAACAACAATAAATTTAACTGTTGTTAAATTTTTATTTTTAAATTAAAATCTTAACTGGAGTATTGTAGTTTGTAGTATTGTAGTTAGAGGAGTATAAACACAATTACACTTGATTACTTCATAATATATGTAAAATTAATTCACATAGACTGCCACACTTTCATTGCGTACTTTATTTTCTGAAAATACCTTGTTTATGTTGTTGTTACAAAATTTCATATTGGAGATTTTTTTTTGTTTTTTTTTTACCCTCTGTGACGGTTTTGTGGGTGATTCGACTGAAAATTCAGCCAGGAGTGAATTTACAAGAAGGTTTTTTCTATACGAAATATTCACTCTTTAATTCATAGAACTAAATATACATCGATAATTAACTTTATTGGGGCCGGGAAAACCTAGCCGATTAAGGCATTTGCAACAGGTAATCAAAGTTAACCTACCTCAAGTGTGCTAAGTACTTGTTTGGACGGGTGGCCATACACCAGAGAAAGCCACACTGCCGAAATTTCTCTTCTGGGTATGTGAGGCCCATCAGCCTATTGGAGGCAACTCGCACTGACCGGGCATAGGACTAATGACCTCTTAAATAGGATGTACTTAAATCGGGAGTCAGGAAGTAGTTTTTCAGTAGTGCTAAATAAAAACTGGAAGTTACACCCCCGTTACTCTCAAGAATATTTGTAAAAAAGTTATTTTCAATTTTATTTATCTTTGCTTCTCGATATACAGTCAACTCTCGAAAATTCTAAATTTAAGGGACTATAAGAAAAATTTGAGTTATCAAGAAGTTAGAATTATCAAGAGCAAGGATCTTCAAACTTTTTTGAGAACGTTGAGACCTTTACAAGCCCCTGGGCTGCATTGAGACCTCCACCTAAGTTCTGCGGACCATAGCTGATGATGAAAACAAAATTTTGGTCTATAAGTGATACTTCAGTTGTGAAATGAGCTTTCACAGTTCTTTTGAGTGAAAGAGTAAAAGAACATGCAATAAATGTTATAGCAACTTCTTGTTTGAGTAATTTAGTGAATTTTATTTTTAATAGTGCCGCATCAGAAGTGCTTGCGTGGGCCGCAGTTAGGAGAACTTTGATCAAGAGGAAAGAAAAAAATTCAAATATTAAGTTTTTATTATACTTTTGAAAATAAATTTTATATATAAATAGTCTGATATAAAAAATATTACTTGAAAAATTCCGAATTATAAAGAGGGAAAGGGAGTGTAGTTCGAATTATAGAACGTTCTTTCCTCCTCCTGTTACGAAAAGAAATTAAAGTTATCGAGCTATCAAAACACACACAGTATTTTTTCAATTTAACAAAGTTAACAGCTAAAGAGTTCGAATTGTCAACAAATTCGATTTATGGAGAGTCTACTGTATCTGCAAGAATAATTCAACAATTTAGTGAATAGCGTTCAAATACACTCAATTGGAAATCTTTGTCGGGTGTTAAAACAGTGCATCTTTTTTCTGGGGATGAAGATAAAATCATTCGGGAAATACCACCAGTACTGAATTTGATAAAACTCTGGTTGACAAAACAAAGTAACCTCAACACTGATAACTGTTTACAATGAACTGTATTTGATAAAAAGACAACTTCGAAATAACTGAAAATCAACCCACGTTGTTGTAGTCCTGGCTTTCGAATATTCTTCAAATGTTTCGAAATCTTATTTATCGATTCAGTTCTGTCTAGATTGTACATTGGCTATTTTTACATATTTCTTTATGTGAAACAATTACATTCTTAAATTCTATAAATATTTATGTCGGTGAAGGTTTTTTGATGAGCTGTTAAGATTGTGTGTGTGATTAGTATATTCTGTTTTCAAGGAGTGAATATAGAATAAATTCCTGTTTCTTCTTAAGTATTAATAAACTTTTAAAAACAGATTTTCTTTCGATATATGGAGGAAGTGATTATCCATTCACGATGTTAAATTTGAACTGTTGTATTAAAATTATTTTCCTCAGCTAATTGGACAGATTTTGAGTCAATAGACTGACAAATATGGAAATAAAATTGACCATGTTTATTTTTTATTTACTTTTGCATAATATTAACTTCAAAATGTAAATATAGCTGCGAAATGGTCGATCCATGCTCTTGTTACCTTTTTTTTTTTTTTAAATTCTGCCTGGTTATTTTTTTCTTTGCCTCAATTTCATTAATTCTCTATTTATAATGATAATTAAAGAATTCAGAGCGAAAGTTGATCTTGTCCAGAATAAAAATAAAAATTGTCTTTTGGGAATGAATAATACTTGGCCCTGCACCTATCTTACTTAGTATGTAAAGTAATCTAAATGGTAATATCAGAGACTTCATTACAATTTGTAAAGAACAGGTTTTCCTCCAGGTATACACTATGTACGTAAGCGCTAAGTATTTCTATTTCTAAAGGAACAAGAAATAAAAATACCATGATCTGAAGTTCCAAAACATCATAGAAGAACTAATTCTTCAAGGAACAGAGGTATTCTTTCAATGGATACCATAACACTGTGGTCTCCATGGCAACGAAACTCGCCAGCCAGAATATCGAATATCGTTGCATAGAGCCAGAAAATAAATAAATAATTCAAATGAGGCTCTACTGCTGGAAACCATAAGGTGCAGTATTCTGGAGAAGCAATGGAGAAAATTGCTTAATAAAGCAGAGCGAGTACCCATAAACCTGCTGAGAAAGGAAGCTGTGTCAGATTTCCAAATAACAGGGCATAGCTACTTAGAAAACATCTGCATAGAATAGGAGTGGCTGACTCACAACATTGCAACCTCTGTAATTCGGGAGCACATAAGGATACAGCGCATTTAAGTGTATGCTCGCACTTATTGAACATAAGAGATACCACGTTGTCCAAATCGGAATGTTACTGGGCTGCAAGGTCTCTGAGGGCGAAAGCCGATAAAGAGAGACATAGTTAAAAAAAAAATACTTTCAGTTATAATTAATAATTCTCTTGTTGAGTAAATCTTATTTAGAATTGCTTCTCAAGCATTTTTTTATTCCATGATTTGGAATGCTTCTTCACTAGTCTTAATAGTTGTTTTTTTTTTCTCTCTCTCTTTTAATATGTTCCATGTCAAAAAACTAAAATGACCAATAATTTGACGATCTAAACAAACTGAGAACAAGTGGTTGAAAGTTAATAAAGGCTTGCATCAATGCTGCCAACTGAGATCAAGTGATCTTAGTTAACTATCAACTTGTTGATGATATCAACTTAATTCAAATTTGAACTGAAAAAAAAATCTGGTATGTCCACTCACACGACTTTCCTACCTATTTCAGAAAAGTTTTTATATCTTTACATATGTCCATCAAGAAACCAAAAAAAAATTGAATTGGATTTATTTTCCTGAAAATTGATCATAGAAAAGGATCTGAGTATGGTTTATTTGATAAACTAAAGCAATGTAAGCCGGCTTAAGATAGATCAGTGTAAAAATTTCAATACCCTCTAATATTGCTGATCAAAAACTTTTTTCCATAGCCTAAATTTGTCAAACAATAATTTCTGTTAAAAGTAGAGGTAATAATGAAGCTTGTGTGATGCAGGCAACAGATTTTCTTACTTTCACTAAGTTATCATTTCAGGTTGTATATGTACCTGTAATATTACATTGGAAATTGAATATCTGTAACTTTGTTAATAGTTGTCTGAAATGAACGATTTTTATATAGTTTTGTAGGGAATTTTATTACCTTTCAAAAAAATCAGATTAAACGTTGTTTTTTCGGGCGCTCTGAAACGTATAGATCCGTCGGAAATTTTACCCGATAGCAATTCTTTCCTTACCTAAAATAGCTAGGAAATTAAAAATATATATATCCTTTAAAACAAAAGAGTTTAATTAGTGTTATTAAACTTAAAGCTTAATTATTTCAAAACTATAATTTATGGACTTGATCCACTTCAGCTCTGAATGCTTCAATAAATAATAGTATTTAAAAAATAAAAACATTTCTTAAAGCATTAAAATTAATTTTTAATGATGATATTTACAAATCCTTATTTTTAAATCATTCATTCTTTAAAGCATTCTTTTTAAAGAGTTCAAATAGTCCACAGCACAGACCTCTTTTTATCAAATTATTAATATCCGTATAAAATTTTGTGAATAGCTTCATATTATTTTAGTAACCAACAACTTTTTTTATTTAAGAAAATTCTCAGAAATGGGAGATTTTTAATCTGGAGATCAGTAAACTTTTACTACTTAATGGATACCTAAAACACATTAACACCCATTTGCCTTCCACAGGAATCACAAGATAATTTGATCACAAAATTTACATAGATGGTGGCCTACAAAAATATAGGGTCTTTTAGGGTGACCTCCAATCCCAACATGTTAAAATAACGAAGTTGTACGATATTTTTGTAAGTCACCTTTATCTCGAGTTTGCGATCAAATAATCTTACGATTCGAGTGAAAACCAAATGTATATTCATGAATTTTTAATCACTCATTAAATTGTTGAATTTAATGAGAAAATCCCCATTTCTGAGAATTTTCATTTATAAAAAAATTGTAGGTTACGATGAGATAAAGCCATTCACTAATTTTTCGATAGATGTCAATAATTTGATAAAAATTAGTCTGTTCCGTGGACTAAAAATATATCAATTTTAGATAAGTTTTTGCATTTTATGAAACCGAACTAATACCATTTAATAGAGTTTCATTTTAACGCAATTTCTTTTACAGGTTTTAGATGAGCTCATGGATGGCGATATAATTGTATTCCAAAAAGATGAGAAAGATGATGAATATGACCTTCCTACCTGCAAAGATTATTTCAGGTTAGAAATTTATTCGATACATCGTTAAACATGTATGTATTTTGAAAGTATATTTGTATTTCTTTCCTATACATAATAGATTTTGTTTGGTATGAAATAATGAATATGAATCCACAGGTAATCTATATTTTCTACTGATTAAATTAATTTAATTGTAAATAGGGTCTGCCCTTGTTAACTTTAATCTCAGAGGAAAATACAATAGGTTATTGAGTTTTTCAATTTATTAAGATTCTAAGTATCAAGGAACCTTCGAAAACTGATTTTTCTCCCATTCCAAAAAAAAAATCACTAACAAACATTAAAATATCTAAAGCAGACCTTATACGATCAGTCTTGAATGAAAGTTACTAGACTTAAAAGGATTGTTCCACCCTACACGTTCAATCATTACTGATGCCATTTTAGCTCAGTTGACGTTGAGATCATTCCGATCATTCAGATTCCGACGACAGCATGGATCTGATGCATTGTCCATTTATAATGTGTTTCATTTAAAATGCTTATTTGGCCATTATCCTTTATAGCATTGGACATCGAGAGAAAAATGGTGATACAATGATTATTTCCCAGTGTCTGATGTAATTTTAGCTTCCCCATTGCAAGTGATTTTTACTTTCACATACGTATATATGTAATATATAGTAAGGGTAAGTATTGCGATCGAGAAAATTTTTTAATCGAGTTTTCAACGGAAATACACGTTTTGAGGTACCCTGAGTCGAAATGACCAAGTCCCGAAAAATGGTCTGTGTGTTTGTATGTTAGCAGTCTAGCTCAAAAAAAAAAGTCCTACGAAACTGATATTACGTATTTAAGATAGGTATATGCCTTAGATGTGACAGCAACTTTTTCCTTAAAATCGACTAACCGGAAGTGCCACTTTATATCAATGCTGAAATACATTTTCACAATTTTCTCAAAAACGGCTCTAATAATTTTGATTAAACTCGATGTATCATTATATAATTAAATGGTCTTTAATATCAATTAGGTCTTATCCCCATTGATGTCACTTAATAAAGTATCTTTCCTAAGAACATTTTTCATAAGAAATAAGTACCTAAATTTATACTTTATTCTCAGTTCTATATTTCAACACTGCAATCACCACCTCCGGAATCAACTTACTTATATTCTGTATAGATAACATTTTCAACTAAAAATATCACTAAAATGACATCACTCAAAAATGTTGAAATTAGAGTTAGTTATTCTGAGGTTTATAAAAGCAAAGAAAGTTGTGTGGTTTATAAAAGCAGATGGAGTGACTTGATTTTTCTTGCCTGTCGTCGATATATTTAATAGACATTTTGTAATTATAATGGTCTTAATGACTTGTTATCTGTAAGCTTTAAGCCTTAGCTCCGTTTAAAATGCACTTCACAAAAATTTATAATAGTCCAGCATTGCCAGAAAATAATTTCTATTCATAGTAGATCGGTAAGTGAAAGTTGTGTGTTGCGCGCACCAGATTTTTTTATATCAGGGCCTTTTTGACATCTTTGAGCCCTAAATTTGTTTTAATAAAACTTTATTCTGGAAAAATGTGACATCTAACTTTCTTTTATTTTTATTTTATTTTTTGTATTCTAAAAATTTAGTTATATTATCTCTACTCTTGAACAAGAAAAGTATTTAATTTTTATTTTATTTAGGGATCTTTATCATCGAATGGAGATTACTTTCTGTGATAAGACAGTTCCTAACGACCCTGGTTTTACTATGGAGTTATCTGCCCGTATGACTTACATACAGTTTGCCTCCGCCGTTGCCCAGAGGGTACAGACGGATCCTTATAGGCTTCAGTTCTTTAGGCCTCATGCGTGAGTAATTAATATATATATATATATGGATAGAATTTTCATAAAACTTATTTTATTTATCTCTATGAATAAATGTTTATAAAATAAATTATTATTTTTTTAGGTATAAGGAAGGCCCAGGTAATCCATTGAGGTGTTCCTACGAAGGCACTCTAAAGGACCTCTTACCACACACAAAGCCGAAAGCCCCGAAGAAATTGTATTATCAACAGCTTTCAATTCCTGTTAATGAACTTGAAAACAAAAGGCCATTTAAGGTTAGTTTAACCAAGAATTTATTAGTCCCGTATAATATTTTAGGGAGTTAATAGAGTAATAATGTTTTAATTAATGGGTGATAAATATTCAGAACGCAGTCATTATAAAGTTTTTATTAGTGCCGACGTTTCAACCCAAAAATGTGGGTCATCATCAGAGCTGAAAATTTTTAAATACAGTCGAAGATATAATATTATACGACAGATAATGATGGTTAATAATAAAAAAATATATAGTGATTGATGATACATGAATCTTAACTAATATTACAAATGAAATATGTAAAAAGTTATACTGCATCTCCACACGAAACCCGTTCACCTCGAAACTAGCAGAACAAGCCATATCCCTTAACTACACATTTGATTTTGGAAACCGAACCGTACTTGCCACAGTTCCCAATCACCAAAAACTACTTTCAGAAGCTATATTCATTTAATTTGAAAAAAAATAATCCGGTAAACCACAAAGTAGACAAAGAAAAGATCTGCAACACATATTCGAATATTTTCTCCCTCCTAAAACAATAGTCTATAATAATTAAAATTGTTTTTCATTTGCCCCATTTCTCCTCCAACTTACATAGGTAACTAACTACTCGTACGTTTATTTTATACATAACGTCTGTTCTCAATATAAATATATACTATAATCATTTATTGTAATATGTTTATAGTTATTAGTTATCCCCACATATATTATTACAGTAAGACTCGAAATTGGTTTTGTACCAAATATAAGCTCCTGTCATGTTCAAATACCATGAATGGGATACCGTTGGATTCAGAATTTCATGGGGGTTAGCGAATCGTATTCTCCACTTTTGTTTTTCTTTCTAAAATAAATAAAGTTGATAAAAACATTTTGCTAGGCTCCAATACTGGAACGTTGGTAGGTCTGTAGATCAATATGGGACAAATTGGACCTTGAAGATTTTGATGCGTACAGCAAGACCCGGAACTATCGGATACTGTGTTTTTAAACCCAAAAACTTACTATTTTCGAGATAACGCAAGGCATAGGGTTCGCATCCACACAACCTTACATTAATTGTAGTACGGTCATTGAATACATGCCTCATTTCGTCGACTTGAGGTCTCTATGATCGAGAGAGGAGTTTATATTATTTATCGATGGTGTTTTTGATCAGCAAGCCATATCATTGTTAATTTTTCACCAAATCTCAAGATTGTGCCACCAATTTCGAAGGCTTCCTTCTCCTTCAGGCAGGCAAAATAGTCCAATCAACCTGAAAATTCAGGCGAACAAGTTATGAAAGAAAACAAACTTTATTTGCGAATAACTAAAAAATTAAATTCTTTTCCCTTGGTTATGCCCATGATTATATAAAAGATTACTAAATTCACTACGAAAGGGAAAAACAATCATCGAAATCGGACAAGTTTTAGCAAAGATACGGCTTACTGAAATTCGTAAACATGTTGATTCCAAACAAAAATGATTAATATTATTATTCTTAAAATATTGTATAATATATTGTCCTACTTATCATTTCAATCCACTACAATTGTCTTTATTATAAATATTATTTGGCTAACTAATGTATACCTTCAATCAAACTATGTTATGTTTATATTGATTGGCACCTCTTGCTTATGTTCATTTCACATTACTAGCCAATAGTCACAATTCTGTAACCATAAGAAACAGCGCAAACCTTGTACACATCTGGAATATTTAGTCAGCAAATTATTTGCATTCTACAAACAGAAATATTACCTCCCTCCTCCTCCCTCTACCTAAATCTATAATGACCTCTCAAATTTGGTAATTGTATTAAAATATATTTTAAAATTAGAATTTATTTGAAGAAAAAAAAAAAAAACATTTACAGGTCGTATGGGTTGGTCCAAAAATGAAAGAAGAAAAAGAAATTATTTTATATCCAAATAAAGGAGCAACAGTTGCTGATCTTCTTGAAGAAGCTAAGAAAACCGTTGAGATGAGCCCAGATGGTTCAGGAAAGCTTAGGTACGTATTAAATTCAATTAATTTTGTAATCTCTTTGGGTTTTTTTTTTTTTTTACTATTTTCCCTTTTAATCTCTACCTTTTGATAATTAACAATGAGTGAATGGGATCGAGTGCCATGGAGTGGAGAAGTTACTTTATAAATATGCCTGAAAGATTTTAATGAATGAAAATTGTTAAATTGAATACTTGATGGTTGACCGTTATATATTATTGTGGAAGTAGATGGTCCTGGGTAGCGTTCATTAAAATATTAACGTAGTAAAAAAAACTTTTTTTTTTTATGCCGACCTTTCATTGAAACTAAGCAGTTCCACACCTAACTCCATCTTGTACACTCATACTCCCCTGAAGAAGACCTGCATAGTTAGATCAAAACTTCAGCTTTAAATAAAATATTTTTGCACTATTTTATATCTTTTTATGACTGTCACCCAGACAATCTTCTTCCAAAATTGTTTAATATTTCAAATTCCAATTTATTTTTAACATTATACCAATCCATTTTTTTTATACTAATTTCTTAGTTTTAGTTATTGATTTTATATGATATTTTCAGAATTTTAGAAATGACGTGTAATAGGATTCATCCAGGCCCTCGCGATGATACGCCGCTAGACACTCTCACCCAACCTAGTTCGAGTACACCTAAAATATATAGGTAAATTTCATTATTACAATATTTCTTTAATAATTTTAAATTAGAGCTTAGTATATTGTTTTATTTATTTTTTTTTTTTTAATTTCAGGATAGAAGAAATTCCCAAGGATGAATTAAATATAGCAGAGGATGAGCTGTTAGTTCCTGTGGCACATTTTTATAAAGATATTTTTTCAACATTTGGAATTCCATTTTTGGTCAAGATTAAAAATGTGAGTTATTTACATTATATTGAATACCATGTTATATTACTGTATTTTTTTGTTAATTGTTATTAATCAACAATATTTCTTTACATTAAAAACTATGAAATTTGAGTGAAATGCTCGAAAGGAATCTAGATATGGTTAAATACAAATACATCAAATTGAATTTTATTACAAGGTTAAGTTATTCGAAGGAGGGAGAAAATGTGACTAAATGTCACTTACAAAATGTGTTGAAATTATATTAATTAATTTTCTACATTACAGTTCTTCATCGTGTTAAATTCGTTCAAGATCCAAAAATATAAATGAAAAAATAATAGAGACAATTTCGGACTATACGCCTCACAATTTTCATTAACTTATATTGAAATTTTTCGGCGATTAACTATCTTCAACAATCCGAAAAATATATATACATTTATTGGTTCGAATCATCTTTATATTATATACACAATAGATCTTCCAGTCATTATCCTATTCAACTACCCACTTAATTATTTTTTTAATTTAAATTAACTTATATAACAATTAAAAATTATATTAACATAAAAACAAAAATCATAACAATTTCCATTTAATATATAAAGCTCATTTTTAAAACTACCCATTGACTAATATCTGCATTTTCATAACCTTTTTTTTATATTTATTTATTGAGTATTACAACAATCTGTCTCTTGGACATTAGTTATAGTAGAGGTAGGATAACATTCATACCGTATGTACAAAAAATATAAAATAAATAGAAGCAAAATAACAATAAATAATAATCAAGAAGTATATACAATAAATAAAATAACCTAAAAATAAGAAAATTAAAACTAAGTAAAAAACACATGCATTCCTATATACACTATTTCCAATCAGGCGAGGGAACTCTGAGGAAGGCTTGTCCCTCCAACTATGGAGGGAAAAGCTGGACTCTAGGAGAACCCTGCGCTACTCTCTCAACCGCATCACTGGTACTAAAGCTAGTGGAGATTGATCAAGAGCACTTTAGCTGCATACACTTATGTCTTGAGCGGAGAATCTGGCCATTGCCAGAACTCAAATATATACAATCTACAAAAGGTCGCGAGGCCTCTGCTGCCATAACCTTTTAAAGTTTTAAAAAAAAAACTTATTTACGATTAAAATATCTCCCTATACAACTAAAAAATCTGGCTTTACAGTGTAATTTTTAGTTGCATGATGATAATAGTTTTAAATTCCATATTTAAAAGTTTTTTTTTATTCTTAAAATATTAGTAGACGAAGGAGAGAGGGCATGTTTCAGATTAATAATTTTTTAATGTTATGTCTTTATTACATTCTTTTCTCTTTGTGTTACTTTTAAATGTAATTTAAGTGACTATATCATTTTTATATTATTTTTAAATTATATGGAAGACATATAATTTTATTTTAGCTTGTTTATAATATCAGTATAATGGCTCAATTTTTAAATATAGAATCTAAAACTACTATCAATAAATATTAACAAGGTAAATTAAATGACCGTAAGTTGAAATGCGAAAAAGTTATCAACTTATTATCTCATTCGTTCTTTACTTGAAAATTTTACCATTTTATTTTGAATTTAATTTTTTTTTATCACATTCTTTTTATTCTTAATTGAGGACTTACAACGTAGATCAAAACCTAACCAATAGAGAAAACATATATTATGTGTGTAACTTTTGATCGCACGTCCGAACTAATATTTTAAATTATATCTTCATTCGATAATTTTCACATTACGAGTTTTTATATGTTAGTTATTTAAAGGGCTACTGTTCTCCCATTAATTGTTAGTTTCAATAGCAATAGAGGGAGGAAATAGGCCCTTTTAAAGATTAATTTATACCTTTGTATTTTATTTTATTTATTTTTTTGTGCACTAGACGTTTTTGTTCCATGGTACAGCAATATAGAAAAAATATATAAATATTAGTCTATGTATTAATGGTTGTATATCCCTTTTTAATTTATATTGGTATTGTATTATATGAACAATATTTTTTTCAGGGTGAACCATTCTCAAGAGTTAAAGAAAGACTGTATAGGAAATTATGTATTCAAGAAAAAGAATTTGAGAAGGTAAATTTTTTATCATCAATATATACACTAAATAATTAAAATTGTATTTTTAAAGTTGATTGAAGAGGTTTAACTGCCACATTATCTGCATTAAAATTATTTTTAGTATAAAGATCTGGCATTTATTAATTAATTTCTTAGTAAAAAAAAAAAAAAAAGTTTCCAGATAACAGACAGTACCTCTCTTGTATTGTTTATTTTTATATACAAATTTGTTTGTTTTTTTAATTTATGTTAATGCATTTGTTTCGAACAGGCAATTAACGTTTTTCTTCTTCTTTTTTCTTTTTCTTAGTTCAAGTTCGCTATTGTTTCTGGTGGACGTCCTGGTTTTATTAATGAAGATTCAGAATACACTGTGAACCTTCAGGAATTTAAGCAAAATCAAGGTATTGAAGAAATTTATTTATGATTATAATTGTGTTTAGATGGTTGACTGTAGTGAATAATTGAAGGCAAGAATGGTTGGGGTGTTTAGTAAAAAAAAAATAGTAAAAATAAATAATTATATTTATTTTTGCCGACGTTTCGGCCCAAAGTTCAGGCCTTCATCGTTTAACTTTTTCAAAGAAACATAATATTTTATTTTAAAAAGTTATTGAACTGCAGCACTATGTAATGCAGTTCCCAGCTGCTATGGTGATCGCTGTTATAGATTAGATCAGGTGGGCACACGGTTGAGGGATAGTCTAATATTTTTATTAATATTAATAAATTAACAAGTTATTATACGTTAAAGTATTGATTTCATGTAGAAATATAAATAACAATCTTAAAACGACTAGAATCAAGGATCGAAGGGGTAATGCTGTGATAGGCATATTTATATTTATGGTACTTATGAATATTCATAAAAAGAAATATGAATACAGATGATACGTATTCACGGCTGTATTTGCACTAGTAAAAGTGAATATGGCGGTATTCGCGTTTATTAAAATGAGTACGCTTAAATTTACAGAAGTTAATGGAAATATTTTCACACAACTCTCTTATTTAATACTCTTATTAAGAAAAAAATTATTAATTTATTTATTTAAAAAAAATGTTTACTATATATATATATATATATATATATATATATATATATATATATATAAATTTTATTTCTTTAAATAGTATTATATTCTTCGTTTTATAATATGTTGTGTTAATTATGTTACAATGTATTATGTTATGTTATTTATCACTTGTAAAAGTGAATACGGCAGCATTCACGTTTATTAAAATGAATACGCTTAAATTTACAGAATTGAATGGAAATATTTTCACACAACCTTATTAATGAATACTCTTATTTATTAAAACAAAATATTTATTATATATACCATTTTATTTTTATATATAGTATTATATTCTTCATATATACTCCAAGTCTTTTTTTTGTTAGATGCATCAGCGTCAATGATCCTAGACATACCGGCTTTTAGGTGCTCTGTTTACTTATGGGCTGCTAATGGCAATAAAGATAAGTTTAATTCACGGTCAGGGTAAGTACAACAGTCGGAACGATACCCTGGTAGTTCCTAGGGGAATACATGTAAACGACAGCCTTAGGTTGAAGGAAGGAAAGTGGCAAGGGCTGCCAAATTTGGATAGTGACCTTTCCTGACCTGCCGTTCAGTGTGTAATGTGTGAATATATGTGTTAAGGTTTGCATATTGAACAATATATGAGTACGAAGTTGAAAGCAAAACTGAGTCTGTTTCTCTTTAGCAGAGGCCCTTGTAGTCTGGATGATAAAGAGATTTTGATTTTCAATTTTTTTTAAGACAGTACCGGCTCTTTAAGAAATTCTAATATTCTCACCCCTTCTGAATTTTTATTAGGAAGAGGGAGGGAGGCGATGCCCGAAGAATATAATACTAGATATTAAAATAAAATGGTATATATAGTAAATATATTTTAAAAAAAAATAATTTAGTAAATATATTGTAATGTCAACATTACATGGCATTTAAATAGTGGCGCGAAAGTGGTAACAGCACGAACTACAGGGAGAAAGTGCGTGGGGATGGTGGGGGAAGCAAGCCTCATGTAACTCAGAATGTGACGGGCCGCCAAGAGAGAAGGTGATAGCGTCCAAGAGAGAATGTGACAAGCTGTCATGAGAGAAGGTGTTAGCCAGCAAGCTGAGAAAGTGAAAAAGGAGTCCTAGCCGGTTCGAGTGTTGATAGAGACCACTAGTGGAGATTATTTTATATTGGAAGAAAAAAACATAGCAGAAAAGAATTAAGTGGTACAGAAAACGGGACATTCGTAAGTAAGAAGAGATTATTTCGCTGTTCGGCGTAAACATTTGGGTGAGTGCTAAGAATGCCATTTATGTTGACAGAGGAATAGAACCAAAAGTTTAGACTGGGACAATCAAGGTTTTTGAAAATAATAATAAATTTTATATGTATAATTAGTGTATTTAGTAATTAGTAAATTATAGTTATTTAATGTTGAATGAGTGTTCAGTTGTCAGAACCCAACCTGAGATTAATGTTATGTGTTAAAATAAATAATATATTGAAAAAGGAAACTCGTTGTTTGATTTTGGAGGGAAAGAGGAACGTTACAATATATATATATTTATATATTAAATAAATAAGAGTATTCATTAATAAGGTTGCGTGATAATATTTGCATTCACTTCTGTAAATGTAAGCGTCTTAATTTTTATAATTGTGAATATGGCCGTATTTATATTTACAGCCGTGAATATGTATCTTCTGTATTCATATTTCTTTTTATGAATATAAATATGCCCATCTCTGAGGTAATATCGGTCTAGTGGCCACGTCAGAGCTCGATTCCTCATCATCATTTTTTCTCTGAGTGAGCAAACCTGGTAGTTTTATAGATCTTAGGGTTGGAGGACTCCTTATAGAAAGGTTATCGGAGTGTTACCTACAGGTTCTCTTGAAATTAACCTATTTAAACATAAATTAATGTTATTTATAACTTTCTTATATATATATATTTTTCTTTTTTTCAGGATCTGTTAATGCAAATAGGCCTTGGCTGGGTTTAGAACACATCAATAAAGCACCTAAAAGAGGACGATTCAACTATTTAGAAAAAGCAATTAAGATCTATAACTGATACGTACATTCTGTCTGTGTGTCTCAACTTTCATATAAACCAGTTTGTTATTGAAGTTAAAACATACACATTCACACTCTCACACACACATTTATACATATATATAAATATATACAAAATATATTTATGTATATAGATGATAGGAATTAATTCAAAGTATATAAAAAAAAAAAAAAAAAAAGCCAAATCCAAAAAATGGACAATACGGTTTTTATTTATAAAACCAGTGAGGGATTTCATCTTTCTTTTTTTTCTAATATTTTTTTTTGTTTGTTTTGTTTTTTTGTTAATGCTATCTCGAATGATGTTCTCTCATTTATAATAATATGTGCTATTGGTGCCAGAAAGTGGTGGAAATATATAATTGACCGTGCCAAGAAATATTTGACTCGTGACGTTGGAACTAGAGACTTGTGGGCAGTGAAAAGTGTTCTTTGATCCTGTGTATTTCGCATGCAGCGGCCAGTGAACAAAATACCATTGTTCATGTTGGACTTCCGAATATATTTCGGCATAAATATTATGTAGAGTATATTTGCTATTTTTATCTGAAGCAGTAAAGCTTGTTTTTATTTTAGAAAAGTAAGGTGATCCAACTTTTTATCTCTATGCAAGAGAAATACCTTCAAATGAAATGTTGTGTTATTATATAGTGTATTTATTATTTATATATATATAGAGATTATGATAATTAATAATAGTTACTCTTGACTTGACTGTCTACTTTTTATTTTTTAAATGTATTTTAATTTATGTCACTTCAGAATAATTGATTAAAGAAGTATAAATAATTTTTGAATCAAAATTATTTCTAGTGTTTATTTTTTTAAAATAACATCAATTGAAACTATATATAAATCTTAAGTTTTTCATTTCAAACGTTCAACTGAATCGATTGAAGAAATTAAATAAGGCACTTCATTCTATTTTTTTCTTTTGACAATCAGTCTTCGTATAAATTTTTAAATGGAAAAAAAAAATTAAATCTGATGCAGAATTAAAATATTCTCCCCTTACTCTCTTTAACATAAAGTTCATTCAAAAAAGCTTGCCTGCCTTAAATAAATTCTTTAAAGGAAGTTTTTTTTTTTTTAATTTTTTGTGTTTTTTACATTAACCTAAATTTATTGCTTTTATTAATTTAACATGATAGTGCCATGTCAAATTGGCGAGTAGTTCTGTCAGCACTATATTATACAATACAATCAAGAAAAAAATATATAATAATAAATAAATAAATAAAAAAAAATGGTTGTGCATATTTCTAACAAAGGTTTTCAAAAATAAAATTTTGTTACAATAATCTTCCTGAAGTGTATTCTGTTGCCTTGTGTGTCTGTTTTAATTGTTATTCAGTGACTATATATTTTTTAACTGCTATTATTAACTCTTAAAAATAAAATTTGAAAGCCCTTTCAATATTTGTAAATATTGTTATTTTGTATAATTGTATATAATATATATATAGATAAATCTCTATGAATTTTATTTTGTTATTCGGAGGTTTACAACATGGACATTGTTTGAAATTCTTCATGAGGTTATTCATATATAACTTCCTGTATAGGTCATTTTTAATGTTATAATCATCCTAAATAATTATTATGCAAGAAAAAATAATAAGTTTTGAATCTTTTTCTCACGATGAATTTGAAATTTTTGCATAATAATGCCGTCATATAATATTTATTAGACCTATTTTCTTAGAATCTTTTAACTTTTCTCATTTTCACTAATTTTTTGTAAATTTTGTAATTGGTTTGACATTATAAGGGAAATTTACTAAGTAATTAATTTGTTTTGTACAGCTCACAGAACACGCATTGTTAAATTAATTTTAAAGAAAATGTAAATAAAGAAGTAGGAAAGAAATATCGTAATTTTTTCCAGGGGTTACTGTCTAGTAATTTATTTTTATATATCGTAATAACATATTTTGATTTTATTAAAAATAAAATTTAAGATGAGCTATTCTGTATTGTTTTACCTTTCAGAATAGTATTACGTTTTTTTGTCATCATACATTATTTTCTTTAAACTCACTTTCTCTTATGAGCTAATTATGAAATGATTATTATTTTGAAATTATTCTCTCTTCTGTTGAAATGAATTTAATTATTTAACGCTACTCAATTAATTTGAAGTAGTCTTTTTCAGTAAGCAGAGTAACTGTTATTGTATCTACTTCTTCTGTACATATTTAACTCAACCCATGTCTAAATTAATGGAATTTGTTGGGCTTTAAAAATGTTATTTTAAAATCCTGTATTTCTTTGCATATTTGTTACTAACTAAAATATAATACTAAAGTACATATATGCATCAACGTGCAGGTATGTGCCTATTTGTATCAATGAACATTAAAAAAAGTAATAATAAAAAAATAGAAAAAAAAAATAAAAAGAAATAGCTGCAAATAAATTTAATAAGTAGTCATTGAATTGATCCCCTTGATAAAATTATATTTAAGTTTTATTTATATGACTTAAAACATGATTCTCTTGTCGTCAGGATGTGTTACCTTAAGGAATAAGTTGGATATTCGAAGATTTTCTATTGTTGTACATTATTGCTACAATCAAGTTGAAAAGTAACCAGTGTGCATTTAATCTTATAGTGGCAAAGAGGATGGCATTGGTTGACAGTTATCTCTGCCCCTGTGACAGAATACTTTTCACTACTTTTTATTTAGGGTATCCTTCTAAACTTTTTTATTTTGTTTTTATATTTGGTTGGCAAATAAGTCTGTTCGGTTTTTTAGGGTGAAATAAAACTCAATGTATTGTAATATGTCTCTTATATTTTTTAACTAGTAATATGACCTCGTGGAAGATTACTTTATACTGTTTGGATACTTTATGAGTAAATAATAGGTCATTAAATAATAAACAAAATTATAAGAGTATTAATATATTAAATTGAAATTTATAATTTTATCTCAGGTATGGGTTACTCACAATCAGATCAAAACACGGCCATAAATAGGCTAAATAGTGGCAAAACTATTTTATTAAAAGCCAACATTTCGACCCGACTTCGCAGGTCTTCTTGAGGGCTAGAACGGACAAGATACAAAAAGATAGAGAATTGTGGAAATTATATAATATTTAGACAAAAAATTATAAACAATGTGAATAAGCTGAACAAACCTGTAAGTCTCTAATTTTATTCTTCCAATTTTATTTACATATTTATTTATTTTTTTCTTTTCTTTCTCCACATTCCTTTGTCTGTTATTTCATATTATATCATTTTTCCTTTTCTTTCAATTTCTCCTGTAGATCTGTAGAAGTATATTCACATTTCCATTATATATATTATTCTACAATAATTGTTACCATCTATTTACTTCAGTTTAGGATCTTGTTACTTAGCGTACTCTGTTTATATTTTAATGTACTTACTATTTATAATTTTAATAAGCTTATTCACATTGTTTATAATTTTTTGTCTAAATATTATGTAACTTCCACAATTCTCTATCTTTTTGTATCTTGTCCGTTCTAGCCCTGAAGAAGACCTGCAAAGTCAGGTCGAAACGTTGGCTTTTAATAAAATAGTTTTACCACTATTTAGCCTATTTATGACCACCATCCCGGACCATCTCCTTCCTTTATTATTATTTATACTAAAATTAAAAACAAAGTCAAGTATGAATTGGCAAGATAACCTTTTTTCTATTTATAACTGTTTCTTCTTTTGTTGCACTGAATTCATTTGTCTTCAAATGCTTTCTAATGTTCTGCCAAACACAACTTCCACAACGGTGAAACTTTCTTCCACTCAATTCAAGCTCCCTGGGATATCCTCTCTCTTGTGATTCCAAACAACTAGTCTCTCTGCCAAACAAAAACTTCCAAGATGGTAATACTATTACTGGGTTTTACCAACTAGAGCCCGGATCCCCTCTCTTTGGGATTTTCCTCTCTGGGGAAACTACAGAACAGCTATTTTATTTTCCCTGGTGAAAGTAGATTAGCTTAATTTTAAACTGTTACATTAATTTATTAAGCCAGTTTTAACAACGTTCAATAAAGGTGTATATACAGTATTATAGACATAAAATTTATTTTAATCTACTATACATTGGCCATTATTTAATTTTTTTTTCCATCTTTCCACTAACTGCATAATGCCATGTTCACAGAATGTCTGGAGTTTATTGTTTTAAAACTTATCCAAGTGGTTTTTCATGTCCTCTTTCTTTTGGAATTTTTTTTTCACTCATGGAGTTCTGCAGAGACCGGGGTAATTGGTAGCCACATGGAGCTAGGGATGGTGGGGGAAAAGGTCCCATCCAATACTGAATAATTTATTGCGAGTGACCAATGAGGTGTGGGGCCTAGCGTTATCTTGGTAGAATATTATATCCTTTCAATCATTCATAACTCTTCAGGTTGTTCTCTTCGATGTTACTATATCCGTTGGAAAACTGAATTATTTCTCTTCAAAACCATAGGTATAGTTTTTTGATTTAATGCCTACATAAGGAATAAATAAACAAAAAGTCCTTGTAAGTTTTCATTTTTTATCTCCATTTGTAGTTTGTTTGCGAAGGTTCTGTTGATGTCATTTTGTGTAGATTATATGGCCCTAAATTTCTTGTAGATAGCTTAAGTTGAATTGAAGTTATAACATTTTTAGTGATTTAAAAAAAAAATCAACCATTAAGCCAGGAAACAGCCGAGCTTGTGCAAATGGTTTTCTACGCTTGTGTGCAACACATTTAGGGCCTTAGCAATCTCTCGCACTGATTGGGTGGGATTTTGATCAACAATTGCCTTAACATTGCTCGTTTCAATTTCATGTGGGCGATCAGACCGGTGAGCATCATTGATGTCAAAATTTCCTGAATGAAATTTGGCAAACCAATTTTGACAGGTGCGTTCGGTTAAGGCATCATCTCCATAAACACTGTACATTTTTCTATGAGCTTCTGCAGCACGCTTACCTTTTTTAAAATAATACAACAAAATATACAGATAATGAATGTTGTTTTCTTCCATATTCACAGTGCAATAGCAAACACAATACCATGCTAGTTTCAACAAGAGTTCACAGATATAGTTGTTGACATATTACAAACAGGATAAACAATCCATCTTAGGGATTAATTCATCAGATAAGAAGTGTATCATAGTGACATAAAAATAAATAGAAAAACCGAAAGGACTTATTTGCCAACACACTAATATTGATAAGAAAGCCACGAGATAGTTTGAAAACATAAATTGTTGGTCAGGAAATTTTTTTAATATGTACATTTTTTTTTTAAATTTAAAATGAATAGATATCCTTGAAGGGGTAACAGTCCGTCATATTCATCCACCTTTGACTAAATAACGGCACTGGTTATTATATTAAAATCAAACAAGGATAATGAATACAATTTAAGCAAAATGGAATTGAAGCTGTGTTTTTTTTAACAAGAAAAACATACCAGTAATATTTACTACTTGTAATATATATATATACAGAGAGAGAGAGGCTGTACCTCGAGGTTTCACTTTATGTTCATGATTCTGTCTCTTCTGGACTACTCTTCAACCTTTCTCAGGTACTTCATCTCTATTTCTAATTCTGTTTAGTGTTGAGAATCCGTGATTCTGAAGAGTAAAAAAGGCTGTTGGACCACCAATGTAACAAAAACTCTTGACACCCAAACAGTACACAATATGTAGCTTATTACAGACAGGATCAACTACAGCACAAATATTAGGCGAGTGAGGGTGATACCCCATTGCTTTTAAAACAATAAGAATTAATCCCAATAGTGTCATTGAAATATAGTTGCTATTTATGAGGAAACATGTCTATTGAAAATGCAATTGATATATTTGATAGTTTAGTTAATGTTCTTTTAGGATTATGATATGTTATAGTAACTTTGTTACTATCTTCAAATGAATATTAATGCTTTCGGCATTAAAATTTTTAATTAAATTAGAAAAATGTTAGATTAAAACATCCTTAAATTTTTAGTCCATTTGTCAGTTTTGTTATATAAAAAGTATCATAAGTTTGCCTGGATTTGATAAATCCCAAGACCAAACATCTAATAGAATTTTAGTCCAGGTATTTCGAATTTTAATATCTGCAAAAATTATTTTTTCTAAGTACAAAGTGGCAGAAAATAATCTGACATTTTTTAAATATTTGACCAATTAACAGAGCAACAAAGGAATTCTTTTTCAAATGATTGTTATGGATTGGAAATTGTAGCTTCTTTCAAGACTTCTTCTATGCCTCAGTTCTTGAGCATGCAGAAGTCTTAGACTCTCAAGATTACTGATAAGTTGGCAAAAATCCTGCCACTTGCCATACAAGTCTTCCTCCCCCACCAGTACCATTATCTAAGATTAAGAATTATGGACTAATAAAAAATTCAGTAGTTGATGGATGTAGAGAAGAAAACTCTGTGACTGTTCAACACCATAGTATGCATGTAATTAAGGTATTTATTTCCAAAACTAACCCTAAAAATCATTGATAAGTTATCAGGAAAAACTGTATTTTCTATTTAAATTGTAGTGACGAAACCATCAATTAAAAAATTCTTTATTTGTAGCAAATATTTTCGAAAATTGTTGATTATTTCAATATTGGTTAAGAAATCTGGTGTGGTGTGCCCATCACACTTACTAAAACTTTCACTTACAACCCTCGTAGCAGAAAAAGGGGAAGTGAAAGTAAAAATTATTGACACTATATTGTGGGTATTTTTATTTGTATGAGTACCCCTATATATGCAGATTTTAATATTATCGGAGTCCGTATTATATTATATTTTATATTTAACTATCTTTTATATTAGAGATTAATGTGAAATTGTCAATTTTTCAAATAAAAAATTAAAGCTACTTTAAGGAAAACTAATATTGAAAATTAGGCATTCAAACTCTGTTAGAGAACATCTATCACAATTAAAACTGCTTAATTTTAAACTGATACGGTGAATTTAATCAAAATCGTTAAAACCGTTTTCGAGGAAATCGCAAAAATGTGTTTAGTCCATTATATAAAGTGCCACTTCCGATTTCGTCGATTTTGAAGACAAAGTTGCTGTAACATCCCTAGCATATAAAAACCTTAAATATGCAATTTCACTTTCGTACGACTTTTCGTTTTTGAGCTAGACTGTTAACACACACATATACAGACCAATTTGCAGGACTAGATAATTTGGACTCAAAACGTGCATTTCCGCTGAAAACTGATATTTGAAAATTTTCACGATCGCAATACTTTCCGTTTCTATATATTTCATATGCAGGTATGTGAAAGTAACAACGTATTCAAATTTGAATAGGGTTGCTTTTAAAACTAATTAAATTTTTAGGCCCATTTCTGAACAAAAAAAAGGTTGATTTGGGTTCGGTTTGGTTAGAAAAAATTAGTTATGATTCGTGGAGAGGGGGAGTTAAAACAAGAGTAAGCATATTTCTCTAGAGTTCGAAACAACGAAGGCCTGAGTTCTCTTGTTTTTAAACAAGTTCTCGATCTGGCTCTGGGAAGAGCAAGAAAGAAGATGCGGAGCTGTTGGTTGGGTCACAGAAATATGCAACCTATTCTTTACTCCCTACTTGCGTTCGTTGTCGACCTCGACATATGTCATGATGACCGTGATGAAAGACGATGCGATTGGATTTACAATCAAGGACTTCTTTTGCTGCTATTTCTTCGACAGGTTCATCGTCACAAAGAAGTTTGCTATTTGTGGGCCTCCTGCATGCTGCTCTATACAGTTAATCCATCACACATACAGCAGGACTTTTAAGTCGTAGTTGTTATGGCTGTCCATAGCGATATCTAAAATAGATATTTCTGAAGAAGCCGAAACCTGAATATTGCGTTTTATAAAGCGAAACTTTTAAATTGAGAAATTACAAGGTTATTGTGAGAAATTGATAAGCATATTTATAATAGTAAGATAATGCTGACCTAATTATTCGCATTCGTACCTTAGCACGTCTTATTTATAATTAAGTTTTTAATAATGGCTTATATAATAATTATAAGAATTTTGTATCCTATGACTTGATCGCCTTAAGCCACCTAGGAGCCTTGTAAACTTAGCCACTTTCATCGTCAAGAAAGGAATTAGCATATCTGGCTGATTTTTCTCGGCATCTACTTTTGCTAGTTTGTCAGCTTTTTCGTTACCTGATAACCCAGTGCCTTAGTATCCTCTGTAAAACCACATCTGTTGTTGTCTACCTTCTAAAATAAGCTATTCATCGTAGGCCAAAATCACAATCCTAGTCTTCTTTGATCTTTCGGAAGTCTTGTGATCACGCGATTTCTTCAAAGTACGAAATATTTCCCTGTCTAGAAGAGCATTGAGCTGTTTCCACTATTTTTGGTCACACCAATCCTGAAATGCTATTATTCCTTAGAACTCTTCTCTTTCATCATCATTATTTCTACGTATAGAAATGACACGTTCCATGTAACTCCTAATATCATTTATATACAGACGATTTGTTTGAGGCACGGGCGGATCTACGGGGAGGGCTTTCGTGCTGAAGCCCCCCCCCCCAAAATGGAAAAATATAACCATGTTTTATGGGGAAAAAATTTTTAAAAATACCTCTTAAAGTATTATTGTTTGTGTAATTACATTTAAAAGTACTTAAGGAATAACTTAAACACCATTTCATATAGGTAGTTAGTTTCTTTCTGTTTTTCCAAAGTAATTATCGTTATTTTTATGAAAAAAAGAGGTTTCGGGCTGAAGCCCCCCCCCCAAAATTAAATCCTGGATCCGCTAGTGGTTTGAGAGGATTAATAGCATCGACTAATAAACTTTTGAAAATAAATTGAGCCTGAATCCAGCGAAAACTAAAAACGATTTTCATTTGGTTCAACAAAACTATGTGAGAAAATATTATTCTCTTCAAGACCTTAGTCCGCTCAATTTCAACTAAGGGGGTTAAAAGCCTAGGTATTTTCAAAAACGGATGAGAATGACTTCTTGTCTTCGAAAGAAGAATTTTAGGTCCAGTTAGAAAATTGAATAAGCATAAATTCTTTTCGCATAAGACACGGCGGCCTTCAACAGTGCCCAACGGAATGCCCTGAAGATGACCTACAACATAGGTGGAAACATTGGACAATGTAATAAAATATACTATTATATAGTATAGAAGGAAGTTAGTCAACTGTTCTACATATCATGGATGATATATAATTATAAGGTTTTTATTAATGCCGAGGTTTCAACCTAAACATGTGGGTCATCATCAGGGCGTGGTTCGGCACTGAAGATATTCAAGTACTGAAGAGACAAAAGTACTTTAATATCTTCAGTGCTCGAACCACGCCCTGATGATCATCCATATATTTGGGTTGAAACGTCGGCACTAATAAAAAACTTATAATGACTGCGTCCTGAATATTTATCACCCATGATTATATAATATAGTATTTTTTGACCGCACTCTCCTGAATAACTTCTTCAGTTTTCATCAGTTTCTTTTATATCAGATCATACTTTTAATAATTCACTTCAAGTGATTAATCCAGAAAAAATATTATTTTAAAGTCATTTAGTCATCATAAGTGGCCATGATACTTTTTAAAATTTAATTTTTATTTTACAACAACCCAACAATTGCATCCCAAACCCTCCAATCATACATCACAAACCTTGAAGAATGGTTTCAAAACTGGAGGATCAAAATAAATTCCAATAAATCCCATCAAATCACCTTTACCCTTCATCGTAAACCTATGTCCTCTTGTCCTACAGTATTCTTTAATAATACCCCACTTATCCCAGTTGAACAAATTCGATACCTTGGACTCCAGTTAGACAAACGTCTAACTTGGAATCGTCATACCAGACTGAAACGACAAGAAACAGCTCGACGTTTCCGACTACTCCAGCACTTATTAGACAAACGCTCTAAGCTTCCAGTCAATTACAAAAGACTCATATACATGACTACAATAAGACCTATTTGGACTTACGGAATTGAGCTCTGAGGCTCCACTAAGCCATCAAATTCCTCTTGCATCCAATCCTTACAATCCAAAATCCTTCGTAAAATCCTCACAGCTCCTTACTTTGTCACAAACAAAATCATCCATAACGACCTTAATGTTCCTTATGTTTCTGACCTGGCCCAATCCAGATACCTTTCCTTCCATAATAAACTTCAGAACCATCCTAACCCTCTCCTTTCTAACCTTGCTTCCTTTTCGATACCTGACAACCCTCCGAGGCCTCTGAAAAGAAGATGGCCTCGAGATCTCCTTTTGTAAATACATTTTTAGAGTGCTACCAGTGGGTAGTTTCTCAACAAATGATTTCATGCTATTATATTCTATTGTTCACATTTACTGAATGTATTTTTACTTGTAATACAGTTGTAAATATCATCAATAAATAAATAAAAAAAATTTTTTATTTTACAATCTAAAAGTATCAGTATCTAATGTTAAAAATATTTTACTCGAGAAGAGTTACCTAGGATATTGTTTATAACCTAGAAATCAAAGCAACTCACTGAACGAATTAATTAATCTGTTGGACCTATAAATTATCATTTTAAATTAAATCCAGCCAGTCTAGTTTTTTGCGGCTTCTGTAAATCTGGTAATAAAGGCAAGTTTTCTCTTTCTACTTTTAATTTATCCATTTGTTTGGAGCTCTTTGGTGTATATCAAAAGTTATCATTGAACGCATCTTAAGTGAATAATTTAGTAGTTAGTAAATATGATGGTTATTCTGGACTGTAATTATATATATATGTAGTTTAGAAATTAATTAGTTGTAACATGGCCGTTATGAATATAGTAAGAAGCGTTCTTTTCCTTAGTAAAAAACCATTCATAAATTTGCATAATTCCACTCAATTTGAAAAGATATCAAGACCTTTAGGTATTTTTGATGTCCAAAGTAGGAACACAAGTTTCTTTAATAAGCTTCCTGCAGAGGCGTTATGGAAAGGAGTGACAAGTGTTAGTAATGCTGGTAAAAAAAGAGGTAGAGGCAAAGGCACTGGAAGAAAAATTGCTAAAGATTTAAACAGAGGTCAAGTGATCGGTGTGGGAAAAATTAATATGGTATGGCCTGGCCTTACAACACCTGTGATAAGAGGAAGAGAAATAATTAAGCAAATGCAATTACCAGAAGACCCTGAAAGAGAAGCAAAGCTATTAAAGATGCGTAATGAAATGGGCCAATTCAAAAGACTCAAAATTTTACCCATCGATAGGGGTTGGTCTGGAAACAAACTTCCTGGCAGAAAGGTCGGACCTCCTGACCCGATTGGCGAAGATACTTTTGAAGGATTCGAAACCATAGTTCTAGAATTGAAATCTGTTTTTAATATGACGGGTAATTTAGGTAGAAAACGTCAGATTAGTTGTTTTGTTGTAACTGGTAACGGACAAGGTTTAGCTGGATTCGGACTGGGAAAATCTCTAGAAGGCAAAACTGCATTAAAAACAGCTAAGAATCGAGCCGGTCAGCGACTAATGTACATTGAAAGATATAATAACCACACGGTTTGTCATGACTTTGCTTCTCAGTTCGGTAGAACTAAGTTAATAGTTAGTAAGAAACCAGAAGGTTATGGTTTGGTCTGTCACAGAGCGATAAAATCTATCTGTGAGATGATTGGAATCAAGGATCTACACGCAAAGGTCGAAGGATCCACCAACTTGCAACATATTGTTAAGGCATTTTTTGTAGGATTATTACAACAAAAAACTCCTGACGATTTAGCCAATGAAACTGGTTATAATGTCGTTGAATTTAAAAAAGAAAGAGACTTCTTCCCTCAAGTAATTGCAAAACCGTCTACAACTGTTTCAGTTCCCAAACCAAAATTGGACTTTCAGGAGTATGTTATGAAAGGTAAAGTTGTTTTGAAAAAGAAGAAGTTTCCTCCATTTTACCAAAAACTACCTGGTTGGGAAATCCATCTTAAGAAAACTTTGAGGTTCAGAAATCAGGACAATGTCCGTCTTAATCTTCTTGCTGAGCATGGTGCTTTGAAAAGTTTCCTTTCAGAAAAAGACGTTAAAACTGAAAATTAATGCCTATAGATTTTGTTTACTTTAAACTTGTGAAATAGTTTTATTTCTGTCATTTTAGTTTACACATTGATTCTTTTTATTTCTGTAAATAAGATATTTATTTAATAAAATCTGATATCATATACAGTTAATCTGAGTCAAAGGTGTAACCTCTATTTCCTGGAATGCTAAATGATTAAATTTTGAGTTATCCCTTGAGATAATTGACTTAAAATTCATTTATTATTTTAACAGTATTTTAGAATTTCTTACAAAAACATTCATCTTAGTCTTGTACAAAAACCTGTTACTTCTCTAGTTTTGAAATTCTGCAACTCAATCATTTTATAATATCTAACCGCACTTTTTTTTTATATGTATATTACTAATCGATTTAAAAAATATATTATCACTTAAGCTGTATTGCTTCATACATTTGAGAAAAAAAAATCAAACTAGAGTAAGCGTACCAGTGATGGACATAGCCAAGGAATTTTTTGGCTTATGCCGCTGTAATTATTATAGTTATAAACTTCTACATTAAACATTTAGAATCTCTAGGGTCTCCTTTTTCTATTTGATGCTTTAAAATTGAAAAAATAATTCAGATATGCAGGATTAATCCCCATTTAAAAAAAAACAACACCTTTTTGCTCTAGTAAAACACTGAAATTCCATTGTTCTAGTAATGGGCAGAGGGTCAATACCAGTAATAGACATACCTCAGAAAAATTCTAAAATCCTTATTTAATTATAAAGATAAGATAACATAAATGTTCAACTTATTCCTAACAAAACTATTAGTAGGGAGGTATGAAACACACTGATCTCTAGAGCACTATATAAGTAATGATAGGAATTTTAAAATTTTCTTTTGGAAACTTTGTTCATACAGTTTTCAATCATTGTTGTTCAATCTAGAAATAACTGGAACCTTTATATCAACAAGGAAGCTTATTATTTACATTTCAAGTCCAATCTATCCATATCTGGAGCGTTCACCAATCTAATATCTTTTTACCATTAAAAAGTTATGTATATATTTTTTAAATGGTATGAAGATTGTAATTCTAATTAATTTTTTAAGCCTATTAAGGTGCCACAGCTTAAGCAACAATGTTTATTGTCATTTTATGTTTGTAGTAGATTTTGATCAGATCAACCCTTATCAGCAAGCTTGATATATTAGTATCAGATTTACTAGGTTGGGGTTTTTTATAATGCAAAAGTTTTTCCTTGGAATAATTTTTTTTTTTTACTTGCAACTAGGTATGTTTACTATCTGATTAGAAACTAAAAATTTAAAAAAATAATACAAAAGTGTTATTTAACTTACTTTGAACCCATATGCCTAGGATGGGTCTATTGGTAAATCCAGCCTTATGAATGATGAATATTTTGAATTATTTTATTATTGAATGTTTAATTAACCGATTTATTAATTTTTAATTATAATAGTTAATTTGACCTTTTCTTGCAACTATTATGACTAATTCAAGTAATATTAAATATATTGAATGAAAGTAATATAAAAATGTTAAAGAAACATTTATTTTTGTAATTTACTCTCATCTTATCCTAGAGAGATAGTTTTTGTTGTAATAATAGAAAAATAGAAATTAAACATTGAGGGTTAAAGTTACCGAATTTAGAGAAAAATGTGATTAATTGCTGGGCAAAGATATTTCAAATCGTCCATATCACATTGCTCGGCATCTTTTATTTGTTCGATTTATTTACCAGTTATTCTCAATCATTTTGGGGAGTTCAAAACTGGTTAAAATATTTTTTAAGCTTACAATTTTTTATTTGAATTTGTTTTTCACTCAGGTAATTTTAAAGATATATATAAAAAAATTATGATAAAGTATTCTACATTTTATGCCTCATATAATGAGGAAAATGGTTTAAAAAATCTTGAAAATTAACAAAAGGAGACTTAGTGCGTTAAGAGACATCTTTCTTTTTTCTTGTATGGTTAATTCAATTTTTTTAAGTTGAATATCACAACTGAGAGTTGGCTTAAGTTCATTCTAAGTACTCCAACTCAGCAATTGTTTTCACCCGGAACACTTTAGACCAAGAATTCAGTTTTCAACTGTTCTGTAGTTTTTTTCATAATATTAACTCTTTAGTAACGGGGAGCTTGAATCAAGGTCAGGTCACATGTACTGAAGGCCTAGCCAACACTGTGTGTTTGTGTGGAATTTATTCACTGAATTGCTCCCATCTTTTTGCAGTTTTCACATTAAAATGTGCTTTTTTCTATAAGTGACTAATACATTTTATTTGATGTTAGCTCATACTTCAATAAGCAGTTAAATTTTTTTTTTTTTTCAATTTTCAATTTTATTATTTATTGTCTTACATAACTTGAACTTTAAACTTTTTTTTAATTTTATAATTTATTTATTATCTTACATTATACTGCAACATTTACATTGTTTTTTATTCTTAATTTGAATTTTTTTAATTAACTTTGTTTATTATTAACCAATGGAAAATTTTTAAAAATGTTTCATTGTATGGTAAATTAAACATAGTTCATTTGATTTATTTCAAATTTCATTCATGGTAAATTACATATACTTCAATAGAAAAAAAAAATTTAAAATTGATTTTCAACTTTCGCATTTCAAAACACTACCAACCAACTGATGTCAATTTTAGAGCTAAACTGTGTTCAAAAGAATAGAAAAAGGTGTGGAAGCAGGTATACCAAGGGTTGAGATCAGACTCCTCACCCTAAAGGATATCCGCGACTAAATAATACATCTCACATCACCTAGTGGTTCCAGCAACAACCTGTGACTCTTGAAGTACCACGGTAGAGTGCTCTGTAACGAGCCGGAGTATTGGTTTTAAGTAACTAAACGATAAAAAGTAGTAGCCAATATATCGGCTCTAGCCATCAGCATGGTCTTTCTGGAGCCATTATATTTGCTTTGCGCATCTAAAGTAAAGGGTTAAAATATATAAAGCTGAACAGGTTGGTTGTACATGCTGTTTCAGGAACTAACATTCCAATTTGAAAAGTTCTTTTTTTATTAATTGCCAAAAGCTGTAGGTTCTATAACACCGTTCAACGACCCCTAAGAACGGAACAGTAATTACTAACTACAATCAACTTATGTTAATCACAGCTTCCAATAAATATTGTTTGTAGGCAAAGAAAAGCTGAGCATTTTAAAAAACAATATCTAATACATAAACTCTTAGAAATTAGTGGAAATTGACGAAAAACTAATAACTCCTGAAAACTAATGTTATTGAAAGAAGATCAAATGGTTCCATGGAAACCAAATAAAAATGTATAAGCTAAATATAAACTTATTAGCTAAATATTTTTAAGCTTGACAAACTAAAAATACAATATCCACATAATTGTTGTTCTTCAATTGTTATTTTAGCCCTAACCTAGGGACCAAAAGTCGACCTGATCGCAGGCGAAGGTTTGTTTGTTAATTGCGAAAGTGTATGTTATTCTTAATAAAATCTTGTCTGCCGTTCCAGAGCCCCTGCTTTAAAAAATCGCGGCTGATTTAAAGAATATTAGGCCAGTAATTTGAGGTTCGAAACGGGAAATCCATTGCGAAAAATGTGAGAATAGTTCTTATTTTTTTAACTTGTATATATGGATTTAGACATGTAAAAAAAAAATTGCTAATGTGAGCCATAAAGGGAAAACTTTTTACAGCCATTGTTTTTTCATCAATAACTCTTAAACGATGCATCAAAGTGAAAAATACTCTTTAATAAAGAGTATTAAATTCAATTAAATAACGTTAAATTGTGCATTGAACGAGTACATAAAGTTTATAATTTGGTCACGTGGTAAGGTATAAAACCACGGTCAACCAACGCTGATTGTTACCTAATTTATCAAAAACTGAAACAAATTATTATAAATGGCCCCCTCCCCCCCATAACTTGGAAATGAGTTCTCTAAGAGGGAAAACCCATAGAATCAAAATTTTAGGGCATCCAATGAGTACTAAAATTTATATTATAATCAAATTATATATCTCAAATCGGGATCAGTTATTCCTTAATGGAATTCGGTATCTATCGACACATCATTTATCAAAATCCTTCGCTGCTGAGAGGTGGAAAACAGGCTTATACCGTATGTAACAGAATCTAAACAAAAATAACCCAGTAGAATAGAAAACCATACAGTTGAAATACTGAAAATCACATTTACCTTCATTACTCATTTTTTAACCATCGGGAGGTTACCAATTTTGTTAGGAGCAAGTGACCTAAATTAAAATAGTTGGTACTCAATAGATATGTAATTTACAATAAAACCTTCGCCTACGATGAGATCAATTTTTGGGCCCTGGCTCCAGGGCTACTTTCTTCATTAGAGAAGGCATGAAGAATTGCATGGCGTTGAAGACAATAGTCGCGGACCATTCACTATATAAAGAAATAAACATGATAACCTGAACTTAAATTTTACCTCAAAACTGTCATCACCACCTATGCCGATGACACGTGTATCCTATCAGTTAATAACGATCCATCTATTGCATCCCAAACTCTTCAATCACACATTACAAGTCTTCAAAAATGGTGTCAAAACTGAATGGAGTACCAACTGAATCTAATTACCTTCACTCTTCATCGTAAACCTATGCCTTGCTGTCCTACACTATCCTTCAACAATAGCCCTCTTCTCCCTGTCCAACAAATCCTATACCTTGGACTCCACCTTGATAAACAACTCACTTGGAACCCCCATAACAGACTGAAACGACTAAAAACCACCTGAAGTTTTCGACTATTGCAGCATTTACTACACAAACGCTCTAAGCTTTCAATCAATTACAAACGACTCATATATATGACAATAATAAGGCCTATTTGGACTTACGGAATTGAGCTTTAGGGCTCCACTAAACCATCAAATTCCTCTCAAATCCAATCCTTACAATCCAAAATCCTTCGTAAAATCCTCAACGCTCCTAACTTTGTCACAAATAAAATCATCCGTAAAGACCTTAATGTTCCATATGTTTCCGATTTGGCCCAATCCAGATACCTATCCTTCCATAACAAACTGCAGAACCATCCGAACCCTCTTGTTTCAAACCTTGCTTCCTCCTCGATCCCTGATAACCCTACCAGGCGTCTGAAAAGAAGATGGCCTCGGGACCTTCTAATATAGAACTTTAATTTGAGTTCTACCAATGGGTAGTTTCTCTTCATGTTGTACATGTCATGTTACCAATGTCACATTTACTTGTATTTTTCATGTAATACAGTTGTAAATTCCATTAAAATAAATTTTAAAAAAAAATTTACCTGGCAAAATCAATTAAAATTCAATGTAACATTCTATTAATAATTTAGAACAGTGGTTTCCTAACTTTTTGGGCCTCAGGCCTACATTGAGACCTCCATCCAAGTCCCGCGGCCATGGAATGAACTTTTTAAGAGAAAAAAACTGTGCAATTAATGATGTAGAGATGGTTGACCGTGATATAATATGAGTTGTTGGTCAGAGGGTGCGGTCAAATAAATACTAAATTTTTAAAATAGTATTTTAAAGGGTACACCGACTTTTTGACCAACTTTGCATGTCTTCATCAGGGCTACAAAAGACATAAAGGTATATGGTGAAAATAAAATAAATGAATTATAAGTAGATATTAAATAAGAAACAGTTGTCTGATAAAGAAATAATAAGATGACATCAGAGATATAGTGGGTGATGGTGTAGTTAAAATATCAAGTATTATATATATATAAGATACAAAACAAAAATAGAAACTAAGTGTAAATAAAAATAGAAAATGTGAATATAGCGTGTAAGTTAAAAGTAAACAGATTGTGATAAAAGACAAGAAATGAGTGGATAACAAACTGGTAAAGGTTACTACATTTGCTAACTGTAGGTTAACAGATAAAAGAATGAGGGTTGACGAACAAAGATATTGGAAAATGAATAAGTAATGATCCAGTAAAGCCAAAATAAGAATAAGATATCAGTGGATAACAAGCTAGTGGAGGTTACACTTGATAACTGTAGGTAAACAGATAAGGAGACTATGATAATAAATACAGATATTGAAAAATTAATAGGATAACATGAGTTGTAAACGTGTTAGGATAGATTTATTAAATATATATAATTTTAAGAAAAAAAATTAGAACGTAAGTAGAAATGTAAACAAGGTTATGATGATGAATAAAGGTACAATCTATATGAAAAGTGTAATATGGTATATAGTTGAAGGATAGGTGTGTTTACAAAGAATCATAATACAAGTCAAATGTACCATGGTATAGGCCACTGCAATTAATATTGTAGTAATCTTTTGTGTGAGTAATTAACTAAATTTGATACCGATGACTACGGACCGTTGTTTGTAGACCCCTAATCTAGAATGTGATATACAAATTGGGAGTAAAAAAAAAGGATAATTAAAAACTCAAATATAGGCTTAACACTTATGTATTAAAATATATGTCTGTACATTGGGAACTATTTTTTTCACAATTGGTAAATCTAAAAAGAAAACTAGTAATCAATATTCTAATAGTCCAAATATGCAACTAGATATTAACTGATTTTTTTTTAAGCCATTGAGAAAAAAAAGTTATTTACAGTAAAATTTATTTTTTAATACAAAAAAAGTACTATTCTTAAAAACTAATCAGGGAAAAATTAACTAACTCCAAAGGTAAACAATAAAAATTAATAGATACAAAGATGTAGTGTAATACTACTAGCCATTCATATCGAAAAATATGAATGGGCTAACTAGCCATTCATATCGAAATATGAATGGGCTCATAAAATCTATTCATATATTTTTATTTGTGAATTAAATATTAGGCAATTAATAACAAAAGCTTATATAAGTAGACAACCCTTCTTAATTTGAATTCAATTTTTTTTTTTTTTTTTTTTTACCAAACAAACATTACAGTGGGATAAAATTAACTTACCCATCCACTGTACATTAAATACCATTACAAATAACAGATAAGTAAAAAAAAGAAATGATATTTTATGGAATGATCTTAGTAGATAGAGAGTAAGTTAGTTTCATATTTGATATATATAAAAAAAAAAAAATAATAAAAACAGAAAGGTAATTCGACATGATTAAATTGATGTTGAGAATTTAATAGATAAAATACTGTTTGTAACATATTTAACACAGCATACATCACAATTTCATTACCTACTGTTTAAAATACAGCTAAAAGTCACAAACAAGCAACATTTCGAAAATGTTTATAAGATTTTTAATTTATTAATATTGTAGCTGTCACTATAACAATTTGCTGAAATTCTTCAAGGAATACATATATATATATTTAAACAGGTCTTTAAATATAGAAATGAGAATTTCTAAAGAAAATAGGAGAGTGAGGAGTGCATGAGTAAGTGAGGGAGAGTCCTAACATATATATATATATCCTTATGTATATATTATTTACTAAATATATATATATAAGAATATATATATATATAATTGTATATAATACATATTTAACACTGCCTCCTTAGAAGCCTTCTTGATACTGTCTGGAATCGAGCCTTTCTTGAAGTATTTCCAACTGACGCTTCGCTTCGCACTGAGGGAAGTTCTGGAGATCATAATATTGAGGCGCTAACTTTAAAAGCCATTCAGCTGAAATAAAAAATTTAAAAATTGTTAATATTTTCTAAATATTAATAAAAGTTAAAGAAAATTATAAAAGTAAGATGAAAAAAATATCAACAAAACCCTTTGTAATTTTTAACTATGTATTGTTTATTTGGCAGAACATAAAAGAAAATGTATAAAAGTTTACATTTATGTAAATTGATTTATTATTTAATTTACCTACAATTGGTGCTACCTTCACCATAAAAATAAATGAATAATTCGTGGGTTATAGAGTCCTCAAGTCACAAGGGACCCTTTCACGATCAATCGTGAATGAAAGTCACAAGAATGACAAAGATGGCTCAGGGTCGCTTTGTTCATGATGAACCCGTACACGTTCCAATCATTACTGATCATTTTAGCTCAGTTGACGTTGAGATAACAGGCAGCATGGATCTGCTGGATTGTCCACTTATAATAATGTGTTTAATTTAAAAAGTTTATTTGGACATTCCCTTTTATAGTATTGGATATCAAGAGAAAAATGGAGATGTAATAATTACTTCCTAGTGCCTGAAAATAGTTTAGACAAAAGTTAAAAAAAAAAAACGGAAAAATTAATGACGAATAAACATAACAATTACAAGATTTTTTTTCTACAAGTAAATTGTGAAGTTTCCACTTTTTTTTTTTTTAATTTAATGTCCACTTGACTATTTAAAGAAAAAAATAGTTGAAAATGGTTTATAAAAATATAAACTAAGGATATAAAAAACTGTTTACTTTTACGAAATTATTTACTTAAAATCAGAAATGTACAATGGTTGTGAGGCCTAGGTAAAGTAAGCTATCTAGTAGTATGGTTAGTTAAGTCTACTATTTACAAAAATTAAGGAAAGGTATTGCGAAAATAATACATTTGTTGAGAAAAATGGGAAAAGAACTGACAAATATACATAAAACTCAAAGATTAATTTTTTTTCTTTAAGTAAATTGTGAAGTTTCCACTTTTTTTTTTTTTAATTTCTTGCCTACTTGACTATTTTAAAAAAATAGTTGAAGATGATTTATAAAATTATAAACAAGAGATATGAAAAACAAATTAACTATTTACTTTTAATGAAAATCAGGAATTTATAATGGTTGTGAGGCCTAGGTAAACTAACCTATCCAGCAGTATGGTTAGTCTCCCCACTACTTATACCTCTGTCTTCCCTCCACTTCTTGTGAATGAACCTTTTATTTCCCGATTTTTGGAAATCTGCCAGACACGTCCATCAGTCCTTCATTCACTACCTTACACAATCATTCGGAACATCATTAGTGCCTCGGAATGCAATGCCGAATGACCAGGTAAAGCGACCCACACAAGCATGCAAATAAATTGTCCAAATGCTATATAGAGTCCCAAAATATCTTGCTGTATCACTAATATTTTAAGTATACATACTAAATATGACAAACACTTAAATATATATATATATATATACTTCTAATGATTGGTTCATTTCTCTTACATTCTACAATAATCACAATTGGAATCAAATCTTTAACATTTAAATCAAAACCAAATTTAACTTCTTTCTTTTTTCTCTATTTTATCTCTTAACCATAAATTCCCAAGATACAAATATTTCAGCGGGGTAGCAATTTATGTCATCTGTAATAATTTAGATTTGAAGCCTTCAGAACTCGCACGATAATCACATTCATAGACTTCTTAAGGAAGTGGTGGTAAAACTGAAAAACTGTTATCTCATAATTCCTTGAATATTCCTAATATTAATGGAATAATGAATTTTTAATTTTTTAAAGATAAAGTTATAACATAATAAAAACAAAAAAAGTCAATTAAAAGGCTCGTGTAATGAGATAGTTCTCACTAGGTTATATTAGTTATTCCTATTTTCATATTAATTTAAATTTTTTACTAGTTGGCCTGTGTGAATAATTCACAGAAAATTTTGTTTAGTCCAGAAATAGAAAAACAATATGGAAATAAGTAGTTCTTATGTATCATGTAAGGAAGGAATTAATATTTTTTCCTTGGTTGATTATAATATTCCATTTAACATAATAGACCAAAATATTTGTACAAATTGCTTTGCTAGGACCTATTTTTAAACGCTGACTGGAAAGATAATAAAAGTAACAAACACAAAATAATGACCCGATCATGGGATTTTCTAAATTATTAAAAAAAAATAAAATGTAAGAACAAACAAATACCTTTAAGAAATAATAAAGTTAATATATTAGGCAGGAAAAAAAATGTAGTAGACTATTCTACACCTAAATGCAATATCTTTAAAGAGACAATATTAAGTATACCAAAATTAATGGACTTATCTTTGTTAATAATGAAGAGAAGAATAGTTGGGGTGGTCAGTCAAAAAGGAAGGCAAAAATAAATGTTAATATTTATTTTTTACATATGCCGACGTTTCGACCTGAAGTTCAGGCCTTCATCATTCCAGATTATGCCTACTTCATCATTCCACACTTTGTAATGGTTTTTATTATTTATCTCTTAGCTCTTAGTCATTATTCTAACAATTTCATTTTACTTTATATTTATCTATTTTATTTTTTTTAATTTTTTTATTTTTTATAATCTTTTTTACCATCACTACTTATGTTTCTCATACATTGTTATCTGGTTATTTTCTTAGCCCTGATGAAGGACTGAACTTCAGGTCGAAACGTCGGCATAGGTAAAAAATAAATATTAACATTTATTTTTGCCTTCCTTTTTGACTGACCACCCCAACTATTCTTCTCTTCATTATCCACGACAGTCAACCAATTACCAATTATGAATCTTTGTTAATAATTGTCCGATTATTTAGGTAATTTAGTAATCTTTATAATTATCATGGGTACAATTCAGAAAAAAATGCATAGTTTTTGAGTTATTCGCAAATAGAGTTTCTTTTCCTTCATAACTTTTTTCCCAGAAATTTTGGGGTGATGGGACTATTTTTCGCATGTGAAAGAGAAGAATATCTTCAAAATGAGTGGTCAATCATTGGATTTGATGAAGAATTTACGAAATTATGGCATACCGAAAAAAAAAACACCTTTTAGAAATAATATATAGGATAAAATATAATTTTTTACTTACGTTTAACATCTGTCACCGTCCTTATATAATTCTTCGTCGTAAGTACAAATTCATTATAGACGACCCATTCAGGTTTATGATCTAAACATGTCGAAGGATGTAACTGTACGACCTGGTTGTCCTTGATCGTTAAATAATGACCCGTCTTCTCTAGATGAGCGACCTGTAAGAAATATTATTTATAAATAAACAAAGCTGAATAAACTATCATAGAATAGATTTTACTCTAAAACCTTAAACCTGCTGATTAATTTTCTTGGCAACCTAATAGTAATTAATATAAAAAAACTAAATAGACAATAGTATTCAGTAGCAAAGAATGGTATTAATCATAATCATGAAACAATCCGCAGTCCATTCGAAAATGGAAGTAAAAGAAATACTTGGATTTCTTGAAGAATTTTTTGAGAAATATTATGTTCAAAGAGTTCAATGTTGTCTACCATGTAGATCACGCAACATTCTGCAACATGACTCAAGAATATGACTGAATTGTAGTAGACATCCCCCTCTATTTACTCCTTTAGGTGAAATTGTGTGAGGGTATGAAAAAAAAAAAAAAAAAAAAAAAAAAAAAAAAAAAAAAAAAAAAAAAAAAAAAAAAAAAAAAAAAAAAAAACCTGTACCACTACAACCTGTGGGTTCTGTGGGTTCAGTACTATTTAGGGAAAGCACTGTTTCTAGGTCAACGGTTGTGCAAGGAGGTGATTTGACCGAGATCACACTCAACCGCCAGGTTTTCCCCCTTAATTAATTTTTTAATTAAGGGTACCCACTTTATAGAGGCTGGGTGTGCCCCAGGAGAGTCTCCCGACCCAGGATCGCCCCACGGCCAATAAAACAGATAAATAAATTTTCTGCCATGAGCCGGGGTTCATACTCGGGACCTTTGCATTGGAAGCTCAGTGCCCTACCACTGAGCTACCTCACTCCCAGTGAGGGTATGAGAAGGAATATATAATATATAGGAATGTGAGGTTGCACTGTGAATTGTACTCAATTATGCAGTGGAAAAATTATTCATTGAAAAGTCTCATATTGATAAACAATCGATGAAGAAGGACGCTGGAAAAAGGACAGAGCAGGTAGCAACAGCTGGAGTAGGACGCCAGAGAAGTGGGAAGAAATTCTAGGCCAGGACAGGAAGAAACGAGGTTGTCAGAAGAGAGAGGCAAGACATTGAAGACTAAGAATATCAAGCCTACAGTTATAAGGACTTTAATATATTCATTTATTATCAGTTGTTAGAATAAATTGTTTGGTTAGACAGGAGTGAATAGTCCTTTTATTTAGTTGTCCTATAGGCCTCACGATTGAAGAATAACAAACAAGGTGAGTCAATTCATTCAAAGTGTATTTACTAAGTCCCAAATTTCTAATATATATTCTTATTGTTTCTTGTCACACAGTGTCACAAAAAGTATTAGATTTCCGAATTCCCAACAACAGTTAAACACCCTCAATATCCAGTGCCGGGGTTTTGTTTTAATAATCATGAGTGTAAATAACCTAAATCTCCGATATAAAAGAGGAAGGCTATTCGCCAATTCCTGCCAAAACAAGTTATTTACATTTAAACTTTATTAAATTATTTACATGTTGTTATGAGTGGCTTTTACAATGAGCCACTAAGCATTAAAATGGTCGAAAATAGTTTTTAAAAATGAGTAAAACATAGCATAAAAATAAAATGAAGATGTTTATTTTGAATTAAATACCTGCATAAAGAAACCAGTAACAAGTGATTTCCTGATGTTGATGTAATAGTCTTTGGATGTAAACTCCGTCGAGGTCCTCTTCAAATTAAAACGATCCATTATCCTCGATAGCTGCTGCCTCACGTTATCGCCGGATTTGAGAGATCTATAGTTGACGAAATTGTCATAGCACCACTGTGGGTCTTCTGAGTCTGTTTTAATCATATCACACAACAAAAGAAACACAAACATTTGGTGTTTTAGTATTGAATGATCAAAATAAAGGCTCATATTTAATAAAAATATCACATAGCAATAAGATGAATGGATTCCATACATTCTAATTATTAATATGTAAAAAAGACAAATAAAGAAATTCTTTTCAATGAAAACAGTTAAGCTGTTAATATTTCCAACAATATGATTCATTAACAATAGAAAAAATAGAATAATTTTAATTATTAAAGTTCTAATTTGTATCCTAAGAGCAGGGTTGAAATTTTGTGATTTATTCTAAGAAAACTTTTAGTCGTAAACCGTTGACCAATGTTCATCCTCAGCAATCAATTTGCATCTATCTGCTAACGCAAAACGGGATCATTCCAAAATGGCGCCTGTTGAAAAACTCACCCAGCTTAATCTCCTCACTTTCATATCATGTGATATGGATTGACCAGTTTCTATAAGCAGCTCTTTATTATTCCAGCGTTAGTATAATCTCAGATCGTTCTGAGGTTGGGGGAGGGAAGGATTTTTTTTTTATCAAATCTTTCAATACTTCTTTCTAGGGCACTAGTTGGGGTCTAGGTCTCACAGCTGTATACCAGACTGGCTTTATCATAGTATTGTACACCCTTAATTTGAGATTTTTCGGATACCTCAATCATATGAGGAGTGTGCAGTTTCATTTTGACTTGAAAAAAAAAATTATCTTCAAATAATGAAATTTTTACATATTTGTGTCCTAACTTTTAACAGGCTCCATTTTTAAATGCCCCCGCAGCTTTGAGCTAACTGATGCAAATTGAATTTTAAGTATGTAAACATTTGTAACGAAAAGAAAAGTTTTCTTCAAATAGGTCAAAAAAATTCAGTTTAGGTATCAGACTATTGCAAAAAATTTAATTATTCAGAACTTAAAATAAAAAGTAGCGAAAAAATTGGATTATTGGACTGACAAGACTCCACTTTAAATTAAATACCAAAATTGATTGATAACGAAAAACTATAGAACAACATTTTAAGATATAAAGAATTTTGAAAACAATATGATGAGGGAAATTAATTTTATCAAGTATTTAAAAATTAAGCAAAAAACTGTAATTCTATAAATTTTACAGGTCAATACATAATTTCATACTAATGATAAAAACTCGATATGTGAAGAAATGTTTCAAATAACATCTTTAAAGATTGATAATTGACAGATTTAAAAAAAAAAATAATTAATCTAAAATCCATAACTTAATTAATTAAATTAATTTATATATTATATATACTCACTTTGTTTAAAGGCGTGATAAACATTGAGAAGAGTCAAGTGATCCCCATCGATGTGCGCAAAGCGCATCTTCGCATCATCGGCAGCCTTCTTTGCCTCGTTCGGCCGAACGAAACACTGCGGAACTGAGATCGCACGGAAACGCGCGTACCATTTTTAGTAACATCACCTATAAAACCCCCTCACTTAGAATCCTGCTCATGCTTTCTTTCTTTATTATTATTATTATTTTTTTCTTTTAATTTCTTATTACTTATTTTTAAACCAGATAAAATATTCTTAACAAAAACAAACAAACATTTAAAAAAGCTTTTTCATTAAATCATTACGTAATAGAAATATGAATATGAAAAAGCTTCCATGACTTGTTGAATTATGGAACGAGGGTAAATGAACTTACGCCAAGTTCTAAAAGTTCAACGCTTGAGCAAGATTCTAAAGGTGACTCTCACATCACCAGTTTTGATTTATTTAATTTTTTTTTTTGTCATTTCAATTAAATGATTGTACTTTTGCAAATATTTGAGGTTTTATTATAAATCATTTAATTATGAAAAAATAATCATATTTTTTTTCATATAAGAGTGGAAACATAACAGATGAAGAGTTAAAAGAATAGAAACACCACACAAATCAGAAAAGAAGAGGTAGGAGAGACGAGTTACAGATTGGAGTGTCAGGACGTCACTCCTTATGACCTTATAACCTTATGAAACTGGAGTTTAGTGGTGCCCGATCAAAATTAACCAGGGTAGAGCAAAATTTATTTCATAATGGACCCACGGTATGAATCTCGCTTATCCTACTCTGGTTAGAATGAATAGATCGGTTTTTGGGTGTGGTTAAAAAAATTAATAAATAAATAAAAAGAAAAATTAGTACTACCATAACTCATGCATGTTCGTAAGTCAACAGCCGAAAATAGGAAATCAATACAAAAAAAAAAAAAAAAAAAATTAGACTAAAAAAGCTAACTAAATGCAATCATCAACAAAATTGGTCTAATTTTCACAATCATTATCACTGATTGTCTTACTTTGATAACAAGATAAGAAAATCAGATTTTAAATTGGTTAAGGGGAGACATCGTTGACGGGAGGGGAGGAATAAGTACTTAATTAAAACTTGGTTCATTCATTATCTTCAAATAATAGTTCAAATTTGTGTTACAATAATTCATTTTATATAACGATAATCTGGTGCGAATGTTAATCAGATGACATGTATTGAGCTGAAATAAGGTTGAGAATATAGTTCTAAAGGAGTATTTTCGAGAGCAAATAATTTGATGGTGTATTCGACGTCTAATTTACAACTTCAATAATAACACAGTTTTTAAGAATTAAATGTTTTGTTCCAACAATTTGTACACATTCAAATCTCTCTTTTTAAAAATTCTATAAACTTATTGAAGGTGATATCATTTCAGTAATCAAAGTATTACATGAAGTTAATTTATTGATGCCTATGATTTAACCTTTTTCTTAACAATATAATTTTTTTAATAACGATACCTCATTAAAAGGATCATTTTCTGTTTGTTCATCATTATCATTAAGTCCAAACAATGGTGGTCGAATTTTAATAACTGATCAACTGTGCAAATTTTGCTAAGAAGTTCTTAACAATTAATTGATAAGTAAGACTAATTTGACTCCTCCTTTTTCGGTCCGAATTTTCTGCGCAATACTTCATTTTCAAAAACTTTAAGACGTTGCTCATCCCTTACTGTAAGCGGTCACTTTTCGCATCCATAAAGAACTATAGGTAAGATAATGGTTTTGTAAATTCTAATTTTTAAGTTTCGGGACAGGAGACGAGAACTAAGTAATTTTGACAAAAAAAAAAAGCTATTTCCCACCTTAATATCTTCTTCAATTTCGTTTTTTTATAGTTATCGTTGATCCTAGATACCTAAAATTCTGTACGTGTTTAAATAAACACATTCCCTTCTATATTGATATCATCGAAATTGTCACTGTTTTTTCAGCTAACCATATATTTTGTCTTATCCATGTTTATTTCGAGCCCTTGTTGTTCTGGAATGCATTTTAATTATTCAATTTAACTGGATACATTGATGATTTCTTATTTTAAGTTATACTGTGTCTCTATTATCTTACCTTGCTTCTCTGTTATGTTTCCACCCTTAGAAAATAATAAATAGAATAATTTAATAGATAATTCATGAGATAAAAATTTGAAAACGGTGATGTCCGAATCCATTTAACAATAGTCACCTTCCTATGGTATTATACTCTTTTATGTTAATAAGCTAAGACAAATAATTTATAAGGATAATTATTTACATCTATCACATTGGTTAATAGATTTAATTCAAAATAAAATATAATTATCTGACACCAAGACTAGAAAGAAAAAAAGAAAAGCAATTATAGAATTCTTAATAGTTGACCGTTGTATTATAGAGGAAGGAGATGGTCCTAAATAATGGTGGTCTTAAATAGACTAAAATAGTGGCAAAACTATTTTGTTAAAATCCAACATTTTGACCTGAATTTGCAGGTCTTCTTCAGGGAGGTGTGTTCAGCAAGGAGTTTTAAGTGAAACTCAATTGAAATTTAATTAGCGTATGCTGCTAATGACCTCCTAAGAAAAATCCAGAGAATGATAAAAAATGAACAAATAATAATGAAATATAATTATATCTAGTAATATAGTTGAATTTAACTTTCTATTATGAAATTAATCATGTCAATATCTGAAAATAGAAATGAATAATAGTCAGGTTTGTCATTAGTGAGGCTCTCAGATTTAAAGGATTTATTTTTTATTTAATTTAATTTTTTTATTATTTTTCTAAGTGTGCGTTTAGGGAAAGTAATATTCTCTTAGGAGTAAATGTGCATAGGAATATCTTTTTAATAGTTCCATTCAATTATAAAATCCATCAAGATTATGATAAAAGATTTGATAGATAAATCACACAACAAAAGTTTTTACTTGTGGCTAAATGAACAGCAAAATTGTAACCAAGTAACAAAGTATTTGTAAGTTGATAAAAAAAAAATTATTACTATGAAATATTACAATTATTATTCGAAAAACAACAGTATCAACCAAATGTAATAGATTTTTTTTTTTTAAACGGTAGGCTATATCCTTTTAATTACGTGGCCTAGAATATATTTTGAGAAAATAAAAGAAAGTATACTAGCCAAAATGATACCTGATAGCATGGCAGTGATAGAGAGGATTTCATTGGAACAGTTGAGCGCACACGACGTGATGAGAAGCTTAGCCAACTGTGGATCTAGAGGAAATTCTGCCATGACTGCTCCGAGATCGGTCAAGTTGCCGTCGTCATCCAACGCTGCCAGGTAATTCAGAAGTTCTAAAGCTCTCATCAGAGTTTCCGGGGCTAGAAATGTTCAGAAAATTATAACATATGTAACGATAAATGCCTAATTAAAATTAAGATTAATATTAGGGGTATTGTGTATTATATAGGATAAAGCCGTTTTACGAAAATATAATAAGCGACCACCAAGCTGCATTCTGAAAAGGGAGAAGCATGCTAGACCAGATCTTCATCCTAAAACAAGTCTCGAAAAACGATGAGAAGGAGCTCAGGAAGTCTACGTCCTATTTGTCTACTTCAAAGCAGCCTATTATTCTATGGACAGGAGCTGTCTTCAGAAAATCATGACTGAACTGGGAGTTCCCGGTAAGTTAGTGAGATTAACAAAAGCGTGTACAAATGACCCTAATTGTAGAGTCCTAATACAAGGAGAAGTATCTGAAGCCTTCAGAGTTTGAATGGGCTTACAGTAGGGAGATTGGCTATCACCGATGTTGTTCAACTTAGCCCTGGAGAAGGTAATAAGAGCAACACCACAGGAAAATGGAGGACACATCGGACAACAACAACACATCGGAATGAATCATAAAATCCTTGGATACACAGATGATATAGCTGTCCTAGAAAATAATCAAGAGTACACTGAGAAACTTGCTAAGACTCTGATAAGAGAGGCAGAGCAGATCGGCCTACAAGTAAATGAAGACAAAACAAAATATATAATAATAAACTGAAAATTCCACCGTAATAGCAGAATCTGCATAGAAGGAAAATCATTACCGAGAGTAGAAAAATTCTAATACCTCAGCTCCACAATAACCTCATGACCAACGGGCAGAAATATACTAACTACAGAAATAAATAACGCAAACAGACCTTTCTTCTGCCTTTCAAAGGTATTGAAATCCCGAAAAACCTAATACTAAAAGTTAATGTACATAAACAAAAAAAACTAAACTAATCAAAACAACAACAATTGAACAACTAATCAAAACAACAACAACAAAATATCTAGTCGCTAAGGTCAACAATATTTCTGAATATTAATTAATAATTTCTTTTAAGTCCAGAAACCGACAGCGGAAATAAGAAAACAAGGTTAACTAGTGAGAATACAGTTCACCAACTCAACGATTACCTCACATTTTGATTCTATAAACAATTAGATGATTTAGTTATAGCATTTAATTTACTATAACATATTTACAATTAACTTTGGACACACATCATAAAAAAATAAACAAATAAAATAATAATAATTCTTACCAGGAGGATCCATGAAATCAAAATGGACAAGATCGTCAATTCCAAGCTTTTTTAATTGAAGAACCACAGATCCTAAATTTGACCTGAGAATTTCTGGATACGTGTTGTCTTGCATTTCATTTTTGTAAGCCTTTTCTGTGTACAGCCTACAAATTTAATATGTTATCTCAGAGATACAATATAAATGAAGTATAATTATTTTAAAATAAATTGAAATGAATTATATTTATTTATAAAATAACCATTATCGGTAAACGTACCTAAAACATTTTCCAGGTCGTGTTCTTCCGGCTCTACCAGCCCTTTGTTGTGCTGATGCTTTACTTATGGGCGAAACTAGAAGAGATTCTACTCTGATACGAGGATTGTATACCTGAAAGAAAAAAAAAAAAATTCAATTCGGTATTGGAGTTGAAAATTTAATAATTGATTCTAAAAGCTTAGACAGGCTGTTCAACCCTTTATAGGACATATCCACCTATTGATTTTTAAAAGAAACAGAAGCTATGTTGATTCTGTTTAAGACTACTAAGTGACGGAAGAAATCGCTCAAGAGAACAGAAAGTTTTAAATAGACTTTTTATCAAAAATGGTAGTTACTTCGACCGGTCCGTGTTGAGTCTCTTTATCTTTCCGCTAACAGTGTCGTAAATTAAGTATTATTAATATATTGGTAGCTTATTTAAGGTTGTGTGGATGCGAACCCTATGCCTTGCATTATCTCGAAAATAGTATGTTTTTGGGCTTAAAAACGCAGAATCCGATAGCTCCAGAGGAACTATCCGGGTCTTGCTGTACGCATCAAAATCTTCAAGGTCCAATTTGTCCCGTATCAATCTACAGACCTACCACCATTCCAGTATTGAAGCCTAGCAAAATGTTTGTTAGAAAGAAAAACAAAAGTGGAGAATATGAGTCGCTAATTCCCTGTGAAGTTTTGAATGCAACGGTACCCCATTCATGGTACTTGAGCATGACAGGAGCTTGCATTTGGTACAAAACCGATTTCGAGTCTTACTGTAATAATATATGTGGGGATAAAAAATTTAATATAAATGGCCATGTAGATTGGAAATGAGTTCCTTAAGTGAAAAAAAAAACTAATAGAATCAATATTTGCAGAGAATCAAATTTAGGCATCCACTGAGGAGCAACAGTTTTAATTTAGGCCACTTGCCTCACAAAATGGGTAATCTTCCGATAACTGGAAATTGGTAATGAATATTTTTGTGATTTTCAAAATTTCAACAGTAAAAATATCTAGTCTCCTGAGTTATTCTTGTTTAGTCTGATATATATATTAAAGGTCTCTCTTCCACCTCTCAACAGCAACGGATTTTGAAAAACGATGTGCCGAAAGAATCTGAATTTCATGAAGAAATAACAAATTCCTATTCGAGAGATATAACTGACCAACTACATTAAACTGTTGGTACTCAGTGGAAACAAAATTGATTCTCTATAACTTTGATTCTGTGAGTTCCCTCTCAAGGAACTCATTTCCAAGCTGCAGGGTCATTTATAGTAATTTATCTCAATTTTCGACAAATTAGGTAAAAATCAGTGTTCGTTGATTGTGATTTTCTACCATGGCAAATTATTAATTTCAGGTACTCCTTTGAAGCACAATTTCACATTCTTTAATTTCTTAAAGAATGCATTTTTTACTTTAATGTACCTTTTAGGAGTTATAGGTACATTAAATAGGTAAAATATATGGCTAAAAAGATTTTAAAAAATATGGCTTTATACATGTTTGAATCCATTACACAATTTTAAAAAATAAAACTTTTCCCATATTTTTCCTGTTTCCATCCTAAAATTCTTTAAATCAGCCACTATTTTAGGAACTGCAGACAAGGTTCATTTTACTTAAAATAACATTCACTTTCGTAATTTATATTCAAACCTTCCCCTGCGATCAGGTCGATCTTTGGATCCTGGGGCTCCAGGGATATAAGAGGAAATTCACTTCTAGAAGACACCGAATATAATTAATTTTTATTTGATAAAATATGGTCAAATAAGTGTACATAATTGAAAAAGTCTTGGTCTAACAATAACAAGCATTAAGGTAATGATAAAATAATAATTTACACTTACTTTTTGCTTTGCGAATCCTGGGTCAATCACAAAAACAACTCCATCTATCGTAAGTGAAGTTTCAGCAATGTTCGTCGACACTACAACTTTCCTTCCTATAGCACCGTTGGGTTTATTAGGTGGAGCGGGTTCGAAAATGCGCTGTTGAAGGTTAGGCGGCAAGGTCGAATAAAGTGGAATACACTTTAGTTCTCCGACTTCAGGGCCCAGATTGTCGATTTCTCTTTTAATTCTTTTACAAGCCTCTTCAATTTCCTATAATAATATATTAATAAGTATAAAAAAAAATGGAGATGCATAATTAAGATTATCTATCTTCTATTATAATAACAATTTTAAACTAGAGACAAATAAAAAATTACTTCTTGTCCAGTCAGAAAGAGAAGTACATCACCAGCAATTTCCTCACACATATGAATTTGTATGACAGTCCTTATAGCTGCTTCCAGATAATCTCTTTCCGGTTCAGGAGTGTAAAATATTTCAACAGGGTGAGTTCTTCCAGGTACATTCATCAAAGGAGCATTGTCAAAGTATTGCTATAGAATAAAATAAAATTAACTCACTTGTTTGAAAACACATGGAATTACCAAAAATTAATTTCAAAACAAACCTGAAATTTGCCAGCATCAAGGGTGGCAGACATAATAACCAGCTTGAGATCAGACCTCTGTTTAATAATTTCTTTAAGAACACCCATAAGAATATCTGTAGCTAACGTTCTTTCATGAGCTTCATCCAATAATATCACTTGGTAATTTTCAAGCATGGGATCGGACATGCCTTCACGAAGAAGCATACCGTCAGTCATATATCTAGAACAAAATCAAATCGTAAAGTATACACAGCAAATAAGATGTTTTTACTTTCCTACGTTCATTAAGGTTAAGAGTCTAACTCAGAAAGTATAAACGTAAAATATAAATAGAATCTTTCGAAAGGTAATTAAATTCCGTACAAAACAAAAAAAATATTTCGCAATCAAACTACATGAGCAGCGATACCGCATATTGAATTTTTTATAGATTTTAATAATGGTTTCCATGACACAAATTCTGTTTACATTTCTATAGTTCATCAAGTAAATTGAACTCGAATCATTTCTCTGATCAGTTTTCAATTTTTTTTTTTTTTTTTTTTTTTATGGACATAATAAATAGTTGTATGGACATATAAATAAATAAGACATATACTATATGGACATATAACAAAAATTGTATAAATTTGTCTAAAATAGGTAGGAAAGTCATGTGAATGTAAACACCAACTTTTTTAAACTTTATTTTAATAATTGCAAAACTATAGTGAAGTCACTTCTAGATGATAGATGAGCCAAGGCTACATAGATTACACTGTTTACGAAACGTCAAATTAGGGATGTTGGAAAAATATTGATGTTTCGATATTGAAATTAGACTATAGTAAATGATATTTTCAGAGATAAACAATGAAACAAAAAAAACTAACAAGCTTAATCGAAAGTGAACTAGTGAACAAAGTGAACAAGATTGAAAAGAAGCTTAATAAACGTGAACTAGTGGTGAAGTATGTCAATATAGCTGTATCATGTGATCTTAATCCTCCTGACACCCGGATGTGACACTACTGTGATGTTTTGGTACTTATTTAATAGCGGGTAGCGTCGAAACCTCCCTTCTTATCTAATCTCATTTCACATAACCTCCCTTATATCTCATCTAACCCAAGGTGTTATTTAATTATGGATGTTGTCACATTGTGGGAATTGCCGTCTTCAGAAGAAGAAGAGGCTATAAAATATTTTGGAGACGCCGGGATATTTGCAAAGATCTAATATTGTGATGAAGATAATCAAATAAAGTTCGACGGGAAGATTAAATGGAGATGCTTTCGTAGTTGTAACAAAACCGTTTCTATTTTCAATACCATAAAACTATTTTCTCTACCAAAATAAATCAAGTTAAAATAAAATTTTTCATATTTTGTTTATATCGTTTCTTCATAGTGTTTCTTTTATATGTACATATGCTGTTTAAGCAGTTTTTTATCATTTCATCTATTTTTATTATTTCATTTATTTTGATATATATGTTGCAATGTTTTTTAATTATATATTTATAATGTTTTGGTCTATTTTAATATATATATTGTAAAATAAAAGTATTTTTATCATTACATTTGTTTGTGTTTTTGTTCACAATTTCAATAATATCAATACAATAAATATGAATACGAAGTATTTATTAGAGTTAAGGTTATAAACATTAGCAGACAGCAGTCGGACGCTACCCGCTATTAAATAAGTACCGAATTTTTTTTTTCTAATTATAATTATATAAATAATGATCATCAATAAAACTAACTTTAATACTGTTTTAGCTGATGAACAGTCTTCAAATCTTATACTGTAACCAACTTCTTGACCCAAAGATACATCCATCTCTTCGGAAACTCTTTGCGCAACAGACATAGCTGCGACCCTCCTCGGCTGAGTACAAGCTACACCTTTTGATCCAACGCTCAGCGAATATTCCACACACCTAGATAATAAATATAAGAAATTTAAGAAATATTTTTTAAAAAACATTAAATATCTAACAGAATATTAAAATAAAATAATTTTTTTTTTAAAAATAACTATTGGTTATTGATATTCGGTAATTTTATTACAGCTCTTATTAGGCTATTAGCCTAAGCAAGACCACTTTAGTTTTAGAATTGAGATACTTAATAAATTATAATAGTACAATAAAAGTTATCTTAATGGACATCTCTCAACAATAAAGATCCCTCTCAACAGACAATTTAATTCAGGCCCTAACCAACAGGTAGGTAAAAAAAAAAATCCTCTGTAATGAAGTCTTTCCATTCCGAACAGGAACACAATTTTATTTCCACATAAGAACTTTTTGAACTATATGTACATTTGCAGTGTAAAAAAAAAAAAAAATAGTTAAGACAAATCTTAACAATCTATAATCCTAATATAGACCAGATATTCATCCTAAAACAAGTGTTTAAAAAAAAGGCAAGGAGATTAAGATGGGATGTATATGTCTGCATTAATAGAGGGCAAGAGAACATCCAGAAGGCGAGAAACGAAAAGGATAGATTTATTCAACAAACATGCAGCAGAGATAGAGAATGCTGGCAAAGAGATATATATGTAATATGTGCATATATATTATATTATAAAACTCTGATATCCACATTGAAGTAAAAATAATAAAACATTTGATTTTAATTAATCTGTTTTTAATTGTAATTTTCATGGGGCAGCGGTGGTCGAGCGGGTTAAGGCACCTGCAAAATTTGTATATCAGGTGTTCAAAGCTCGTTCGCAAGCATTAATAACACAAAAAAAAAAAAAAAAACAGGCCACTACAGCATAGGTTCAATTCCAGTACGATCCCTATGTCTTACACCAAAGATCCTGGTCCTCCATATAGGATATAGGAGCTGGTAATCCTCTATCCCACAAAAAACTGGGTGGAAGATTGCAGCAAAAGATTGCCACCCATCCTTCAAGAAAGTTCCTAAAGAAGAGGGAGTGAGTGAATTTAGATCGCTTTCGGTTAGTAAACCATGTGCTCCCTGGATATCTCGAAGAAGAGAGAACCAAATGATCACTACTGTTACCCATAACAACCCCAAAAGCTGCTAAAGATTCATGAAGAAAAAATCTAAGTCAACAGGCGTAAGAAAAAAGAATAAAAAATGTAATTTTTATCAAGCTTGAAAAGTTTATGTTGAAAATGAAATATGTACCTAATTATATATCCCTTAGTAACAGACAACATTATCTTCCTCATATGTGCCCGTTAAATAGAAGTTTCACTGTATTTATATATTATACTTATGATAAAACAGAAAATTCTTCAATTAGCTAGGGTCTAAAACTTGTTTTCAGTATTAAAATGAACGTTAAAAAAAAAATAAAATAAACTTACCATTGAGGGATTTGGGTAGTTTTCCCGGATCCAGTTTCGCCAACAAGAACAATACACTGATGTTTGTGCAAAAGATCCATGAATTCATCACGGTATTCAAAGACTGGAAGCTGAATTCTCTTTCTATAAAACTCATAGTATCTGCAAAGTTTAAAATACGTGAGGTTATTAATTTGGTCAACCAGTCTAATAGAAGCCATAATACCAAAACAAAAGTGAATTTGGATATATGTATCATAGTCAATTGAATATACTTTTGAAGAAAATAAAATTGTCCACAATTTTCTGTCAATTTTCCTACAGAACAAAAAAAGGCTATTTGACAAGATGAGTTGTGAGTCTAAATTACATTTTCATGAATTCATCAATATTTTATGGTAAATATCTTGAGATCTAAAACAAATACAATAAATAAAAACATTCTGAAGGAAATTTTAACACATTTCGTACAGCACCCAACACGCTTCTAGGGCCTGCAAACTTTGAAATAACAAAATATAATTTCTATCTAGAATTGAAAATGCGGTTTATCTAATCCTAGATACAAAATAAAGGATTTTCAAACATGACTAAGTTAATTTTTAGCTCACCAATTGTCATTATTTATCTATGATTTGTTTCTAGTATTCCATAGAACCAAACATTAGAGCTCCAAGTTACGGCAGATTAGAAGTTTTATTGAGTGATTTTAGTTTTATTGTGCTTGAAATGTCCATATAGGTTTGTGCTTGAATTAACTTCAAGCACAAACTTATATATACCAACACTTAAGTGTTGGTGGTTTCTATCAGGAACAATAGTTTTGTCATGTTTGGTTGATAGATAGGGCAACATCACATTAATCACAATGTACTTGAAATTTTGAAACTAGCAAAGTGTTTCTGAAAATATACATTTGCGACTGATCTTCAAAACTTCTTTTTAACAAATATAAATAATCCAATTTATGGGTAATATTACGTTCTGAATATAGAAATAAACTATTTTTTTTATGTTTCAAATGGATGATAATCAAGCTCATTATACTTTCTTGAATAATCTAAGACACCAGTGATTGAAGTTAAAGATTCAATTTAAATAATAGCTGTTAGAGGAAACCACTTAATATTTAAAACAGTTGATTGACTTATTCATAAAAAATAAATAAGTAAAAATATTTTTAAAATTGCAAAATTAATTATAACCTAAGAAAATATGTTCCCCTCAAATATTTTGATGGCACAACTTGCATCATGAAATATAATTTATTCAGTAATTTTAACTTTAACTTACCTATATGTGTATTATATAGTAAGAGAAAGTATTGCGATCGTGAAAATTATCGGCTCTGAGTATTCAATGGAAATACACGTTTGAGACCCCTGAGACCAAATAAACAAGTCCCAGCAAAATGGTCTGTGTGTGTGTATGTGAACAGTTTAGCTCAAAAACGAAGTCGTATGAAACTGATATTACGTATTTAAGAAAGTTACATGCCTTGGATGTCACTGCAACTTTTTTGTTAAAATCTACTAACCGGAAGTGCCACTTTATTTAAATAATTTTACTTAATGATTTTTTATAAATAAGTCATCGTAACTGTATGGAATATTAAGTGGTTTCCTCTATCTAACAACTATAACGTAAATGGTGATAAATACTCAGGACGCATTCATTATAAAGTTTATATTAGTGGGGAAGTTTCAACCAAACATGTGGGCCATCATCATGGCATGATTCGAGCACTGAAGATACTCAAGTACTGTGGAGAGTACTTGAATACCTTCAGTGCTCGAACCACGCCCTAATGATTACCCACATATTTGGATTGAAAGGTCGGCACTAATAAAACCTTTATAATGACTGCGTCCTGAATATTTATCACCCATGAAATGTAGAACAGTCAACTAACTTCCTTCAATAACTATAATGTAAATTAAATCCCTAACTTCATTCACTGGTGTTCTAGATTATTCGAGGAAGTACGAGCTGGATTATCATCCACTTGAAACATAAAAAATCAGTTTATTTCGATATTCAGCATGTGATATTGCCTCTAAGTTGGTTTATTTATATTTGTTAAAAGGAAGTTTTTCGCACATGTTTACTTTCAGAAACACTTTGCTAGTTTCAACATTTCAAGAACAGTGTGATGTTGGCTTATCTATAAACCAAACATGACAAAACTAGTGTTCCTAAAAAAAAAAAACCGACAATACCAAATTATACGTAGACACTTCACAGCACAATATAACTAAAACCACTCAAAAAAACTTTGAATCAACCATAATGTAAAGCTTTAATATATGGTATTATAGGATACTCGAAAAAAAACAAAACAAATCTTAGATAAATAATGACAATTGGTGAGCTAAAAATTAACTTAGTCAGATTTGAAAAAACTTTACTTCGTGTAAAGGATTACGTAAATGATGGTTTCAAATCTAGATAGAGAACGTAAGATTGTTGAATAGTCTAAACTGTACAGGCAAACTTATCAACAAAAAATATACCTAGCTAACACCAAACATTATACAGAAGCCATAACAAAATAATAATCAGATCTATTTCTTCAATTATACTACCACTGATTAACTAAATTTTGTAATAACTCAATTAAAACTAAACAAATTAGCTAATTGACAATAAATTGGGAATAGAAATTAATATGTAGTACGAAAACAATACTTAGTTACAACAAAAATTTAAATGAAAAAGTAGAACTCTGCGCCTACCTCCTGGTATAAGGAAGACCAGTAAATGGATTTTTTGATGTACTATTCTTTAATGTATTGGCTGCTGGAGGAGCAACATTTGTTGTCGATGTAACACTAGTAGAAGGAACAGCTGCCATCCTGCTGAAAATTCGGGTTTTAATAATAAATATAAGTACTCCATCACCAATAACCTTATTGTTAATCATGCAACTTAAGTAATTTCAATAGTTATAAATCAGTTAGAATTTTAGAATGTTCGATTCCCATGCAATTAGACAATATATATCTATTTAAAACGTTAATAAATAGTATATATAAACTTATAGACAACGCACCACGATGAAGTAAACAATTTATCCCGTGTAAAAATTATAATTCAATTGCATACCTCTGTTTTGTTACATAAGGATCAATATACTCAATCCGACGTTTAGACATTTTTCGGGGCGTAAAAATAGCTTATATTTTATTAAGGCAAACAAAGTTACAAAAAACAATAATTAATATTCCTCTAGGCACAGCTATCTGTATCTCAAAAAAAAAAGTATCGATATAAGCTACCTGCTGTATTGAACAGATATTTACTACATAGATTTGTTTTAAAATTAAATATTAATCAACTAAAAACGTTATTTTTAAAAGCTTATATTTTTATTTACAATTAACAAAAATAATACGTTAAGAAAAACAGCACAATGGTGATATTTCAGTTAGTTAAATTTCCAAGCAAGTAGAAGGCATCATGCATGGCCTCTGTAAAATCAAAATAATTATTTCATTAAGGTATAAGAACATTGTTTTAAGAATAAATAATTCATGTTACCTAATTAGTTGCATTTATTCGAACATTTATTAAGATTCCGAATAACCTTGTTACTTATGGATTTCTTCTTTGTTTACTAGCGTAAAACCTCTTTGGTCACCAATGGCAGTAATTTTTTTTTTTTTTTTTTTCTTGGAACAATTAGTGTTTCATCAGATCCCACGTAATCTTTAACATGAAATTTAGATTCAGGTATAAATTCGTAAGGCAACCACAGGTAAAAAATTTTTCCGTGTACTAAAGTGAATATGTACAATTCACCCTTGTTGCTATTTGAATACATAAGGGCAGTGCCTGCCTTAGCCACTAATCAGAAATTAAAAAAAAAAAATACTCAAATGTAGCCTGTTAATATAGCAACTGTATTAGAGAAACATTGAATGAAATAAAATTCAAATATTACATCATATAAAGTAGCTTAAAAAATTAATTTAATATTTTCATGGGAGGGGAGATGACGTCATCGGCCGGGGGCGCCAGCACTGCATAAGGACGTCATTAAATTTAAAAAAAGAGAACTAGATCTAAATTTGAGATAATTATCTTATTTTAATTTTTAAAAATATATATGATTTGAAATAAATAATGTAATGAGGCTACTCAATAGAAAATAATATTTTGATGGTTGTCGTGCGGTAAGGTTTAGCTGATTATGAACTTAGGATTTTTCTTTCTATACCTAGTTCTGCAATAAATACTGTTACAAAAGTTGAACTTTGTTTAGATCTTTGAGTATTATTTAGATAATCTTCCCCTATATTGGGTTATTTTCATTACATGTCAGGATAATAATCACAATTAGTTTGTATTTTTCTTTCACTCAGTTAACATGGAGTGGGGTGATAAAGAAAACGGAATAGCTGTGATCGCCTTACACAAAGTTGGAAAATATAGATCAGAGATTTTCAACACTGAAAATCAGCTGTATGTTCGTGTTCCGCACTATAAATAGATATAATGAGACCCTATCTGTATGTGACAGACCTCGACTAGGCCGTCTTGAGAACGGCAAATGCAGTGAGAGCAATGGTTGCCCGAACCAGAAGAAATAACATTCGAAAATAAATCATGTCTCGGGAAATGGGAATCTCTGTCAGACCAATGTCCCGCATGATAAAAAGTGACCTTAGGATGGATGCATATCGAATAATGACAGGAGGCTAACCATATCCTTAAAAAAATTAGAGTGGATATATGCAAAGTGCTGCTTGGCCGTTACACCAACGTTCTTCATCGAAATATTTTGTTTAGTGATGAGAACACTTTTACAATTGAAGAGAAATTTAATCGCCAAAATTATCATGTGTACGCACACAGCTTTAAAGAAGCCCAGGAAGTCATTGGAAAAATGGAAAGAGGTCATCACCCTTCCTCAGTGATGGTTTGGTGGGGAGTTTGTTGAAACAGCTGCTATAAACTATCAGGACGATATTTTGGAACCTGTTGTCAAGCCTCTAAATGATACTCTGTTTGCTGGAAGCCATTGGGTTTTCCAGCAGGATTCCGTTCCAGCTCACAAGGATAGGTCATTTCAATAGTGGCTGCAAAAGAACATTCCAGAGTTCACCTATGCCTCGGATTGGCCCTCAGGAAGCCCTGATCTCAACCCACTAGATTGTCTGGCTTTGGTCCGAACTGGAGAGGATGGCATGCCACAGAGCACACCCTAACTTGGAAAGCCTCAAACAATCTCTGGTCTGAGCAGTTGAGCGCTTCCTCAAGAAGTACTGCGTGCTGCTATTGATGACTGGCCACAGAGATTAAATGCCTGTGTGAATACAAAAAGGAGGACATTTTGATTAATTTCTTTTTATGATTTACTCTCTATAGATATACATTTTATTTTCTAATAAACTTTTTGAAAAAAATAATTTTTGTGTTGAAATTTGTATATATTTCCTTGTAACAATATTTAGGACAGGACTAGGGTATAGACGTGGGCGGCAAGTTGTCTTGAGTGCTGCTAACTACTAACATCTCTGAACATTCTGTAAATATTTCAGAAAATATAAAAAACACATCTTGAACAGTTAATAGATTAACAATTGCATCTTGTTTTTCTGCGTTTTCGAATAAAACGAATTATCGCTTACATTTTTACAACTGCTTAGATCATGTCGATTTGTATCACTATTTCATTATCGCACTTAGTGTTGCGATATTGCAATGAAAATATGTACGACTTTGGTGGTTAGTTATCGCAGGTACACAGCTTAAGAATGAATGGTTGGTAAATACATAAAAATAAAAATATACTTCCTGTTTCGTTTTTTAGCAGGTTTTTTGTTTTAACTATGAATAAAATCATCTAGTTGACGATTGGAGAAGAATATTTTATTCATTTATGCACTGTGGAATAAATTATTGATCAAAAATTAACTTGTGGTTCAGTTTGTTTTTGTAATAGAAATGTTATATTCAATTTTCAATAATTTATTTTTTTTATCTTCGATTACCAAATGAATATACCTAAACCAAAGAAATTTGTTTTTTAATGTTATGATTAACAAACATTACTCCCATTCAAAACCAACTCAAACTGATATATGCATACTTTGAGGATTGGTCTCTTTCTGTTGTAGTATGCCGTATAAACAAAGGTTAAGTTCCAAAACTCAGCGCTAATTCTATAGATGGATTTCATCAATCCATTAAATCCAATAGTAATTGACAGCTATTTTAATTGTGTTTAACAACCTGATGGGTTCCAGCGAAGTATTAATACCCTTGGAAAGTTACAAGTACGTGAACAATAAAAGAAATAACTGCCTACTTCATTGTTTAACCTCAAAACAGAAAGTAAACTGAATATGAACATGTAAAGTAAATTGAGAAATAACAATGAGGTTTTATCTAGCGGATGTACCGACCATAGAAGCCAATGGAACCTTTTAGCTATCGGTGAATCTATAACTGAATAAGGAAGGTCCAACGCATGTATAAAGTATTCGTTGTCCAGCAAGTACTCGTTACGAGTGCTCCAATCTCGGTGCCGATGGGACTTTTAATTCTGGCGTGATTCCCCCGCCCTCTCCTCTGGTACGAGATAAAAAAAAAATCGTATGGTCTAGAAGTCGAGGAAGGGGGGAAAAGAAAAGAAGTAAAAGGTGGAGTCTGTAGGTGAATCATTATTGTAATATTGTGATTCTAAATATCTTAATATCATTGCTTCTCAGAAAAACTATAATTTCATTTCATGCAGTTTTTCACCGCCTTCCTGTTCCAAAAAAAGAAAAGGATTTTGGCAGAAAATAGAGAAGTATATTCAGAAGCAGTGGGGTGTAAAATGAGTAGCCAAGAGCCATGAGCTCCAATTTACTAATAATAATATTAAAGTACTACCAATATAATATTTAAACTTGTAATAACTTTGAAACGGCTTTAGGAATCCACACGAAAATTAATAGAGAGTCCTCTGTGTGCTACATGATGTATCAATTGGATCTTCATAAACAAATTAAAACTAAAAATAGGTTTTGTGTCTCATATTTTATAATGTAGTAGGACAAAAAAAAAAAAAAAACTGGTTGAAATAGGTGACACACAGAATCTTCTCCTGAGTCCTGTTGAAGAAGATAAAACAATTTCTACTCTGTCATTTAATTCTGAGGCTGTAAACCTTACAGGGGATCATCTAATATCTATAAAATGGTAATATTTTAATAATATTTGATGGCCAATCTTGTTTTCAATGTTATGGGTTAGATTCCTATCAGAGTCAGTTAATATTAATTTTTTGGTGACCTACAAATCTTATAGTCTCACTCTGGTTAGTACAGGACAACAACCTCAAGGTAACCAAAAAATACCTCAAGACCCATGTGTCAGACAAGTTCCTCCACCAGTACTAGCACCCTTAAATAAATTGAATAAATCTAGTACATCCAATCCTCTAGATTTTGTATTTCATTATCAAGTACTAAATGTTTAACCCTTCATGTTCATGAATTGTAATGGTATATTGATATACATATTTAATTAATGCATGCAGAAACTATAAATGATGATTATAATAATAGGATATTAATATAATTACTAACCTAAGTTATTGATAAAGAATAATAATTTGTACTTATTTTTTATAAATATACTTAGGAGTAATGAGTGCCAAATTAATAGGGCAAGATGGCGGCTTAATTTCAAAACCGCATAGAACACACAATTGATGTTTTCTGAATATTAACAAGCATGTTCAATACAGGGATAGATGTGTCCTACTTACATATTTTTGCCTAAACTTTACCGACGAATTATAAGTCAATTCATTTTAGAAAATTTACTATTTATATTTTTAATAGCATCAGAGGTTATAAAAACAGAATCAGGATGCAGTATTTAATTCAAATAAGGACAATCTATGGGAGCAGCCACAGGTGGATCTACAGGAATGAGGGGGGAGGGAGCTTTTGGACTGAAGCCTCCCAAAATGGTAAAATATAACCATGCTTTATGAAAAAAAAAATCTCTAAAAGTATTATTGTTGGTCTAATTACATTTAATAGTTCTAAAGAATCACTTAAACACCACTTCATATTGGTACTTAGTTTCTTTCTTCCGAAGTAATCATCGTAATATATACCTACAAAAAAAAAATATCTTCGGGCTGAAGCTCCTCCAAAAATTAAATCCTGGATCTATTAGGGGCAGCAGCGGATTCAGAATTTAATTTTGAGAATATCTGAGCAGAAACAAAACAATGAGCTATTCAAGAAGTTGTAAAAACTTATACATTTAAAGAAATACGTGTTTTAAGAGTTGGAACTAAAAATTGTCTTATGTTTTAGAAATATGAATATAAGTGAATAATGATAAATATTGTTACCTAGTGGTTGAAATTAAACATGATCATTATTGAAAATTTGAGGAAAACATAAATGAATTTTTGTTTTTCTAAAATTTGTTTTCTACTCTCATGCATTTGTACAAAAACTTTTATATGTACTTACAATAAAAACAGTTCAGTACCATCTGTGTATTTTTAGAGTTATTCGCAAATAAAATTCTATTGTTACTTTTTTTTCAGCATTTTTTTGGGGAAGTATGTTATATACATAAATTAGAAAGGCTTCAAGGAGAAGACTTTAGTCAAGTTTCGATGAAATCGTTACAACCATTTTGGCACCATAGTCTATAGTGATACATGTTTTTCAGTTGCCATTTGGAAACGAAAGGCCAGATCGTAATGAGAAGTATATGAAAACACTCCTGAATTGTATTGTGACATTGTCCCAAAATTTCAAAACGATCAGTGAAGAACTTTTGGAGTTAAGCAGTTATGAACAAACTAACATTTACAGTTTTATTTATATATACTGTTTCCAAAAATATTGTATTGATAACATTAACGCTCGTCAATAGCAATTAAAAAAAAAAGAAAATCGGTTGAGAAAAACGTACTGAACTGTTTTGTCTTTGCCTAATTATATATTGGAGAAATGCATTTCAGAATGAAAATTAAATCAAAACTAATATTTCTTTTTTGTCTGTAATAAAAACATAAATTATATTCATTCCAATGTTCAATAAGAAAATAAAGAAACAATGTTTAACAATAATAAATACATATCAAGAGTTTAAAACTTTAATTCCAGTCAATATATGTCCTGTACAATTCATCGTAACATCTGGATGTGTTCTATCTGGTAATACTTGATAGAGCCTCAGCCAATTCTCTAATAGATGAAGACCTATAATATCCCTTCTCTTCTTAAGTTCTACATACAATTGTACCAAAGGCTCTCTATACTGGCAGTATATAACAAGCTGGCTCGATGGTTTTAAATATGGCAACAAAAGTGTTAAAATATTTAAAGGGTATTCCTTTGCTACAATAATGATTCCATTCAATTGTTTTTCTTTTAAAGTTGCCACAGCTTTTTCTAAATCTTCAGTCCATCTAGGTTTTTTCGGACACTCCGTTTCATCAGTAGAATGCTTTCGTTTGATTGGACTAGGTTCCACATTTGTTTGTAGAGAGTTATTTATCTGATCGCTGCTAAGTTTTTCGTTACTTGCATCTTCAACTTCATTGTTTTTGTTTTGCGTTGAATTTACTAAATCTTTTAATTTAACTGAAACAAATTGCATTAACTTTTCAGGACCGAAATTCATGGCTAAGATAGCTTGTTTCTGTGGCTGATTGTTAATAGTCAAATTTATAAGAAGTCCGTTGTCACTTAAATAATTTAATACTCCAGCTCCAACTAATCCTTGTGTTCCGTTTTCAAACAGAGCATAAATACCATTATGCTGGATATTAGCAAGAGTATAGATCTGTGAAAGAGCATCATGCCGTAGACCTAATATCTTTGACTGGTCTCTGAAATAAAATATCTCCGATAGCAAACGTATTGTAGGCTCACGTACAATGATGTATTCAAAATATTTCTTTTCCTTCTTTTTCAAATATTTTTCTTGGGAATATTCTGTTTTCTCTTTGAATGTTTTGCTGTTTTCAATTATTTTTTCAAGAATAACTTGAGCAGATAAACCACTTTCCCTCATTTCATTGATGTCATCACTTGTTAAATTCTGAGAACTACCATCATCAGTAATATTTCTGTTGTCAGCACCACTGGAGAACTCTTTCGAAAAATCTTCAGTTTGGGAGCAAACTTCTAAAGCGAATTCCCTCTTTGAACCTTTTGAAGGAATCATTTTGAACACTGTCCAAAAAGGTTTATCTATCACACAAGATAAATCAATCTTATCCTTTCCTAACATTATCTCAGCTTTACTAGAAAGCTGATGTAATTTAAAATATCCTTGTCGTTGGATAACAATATATGAATTTAATTTAATTAAATTAGGAGTTTTTTTAAGGTCATTCATGATAAAGCACGGATCCGTCACAATAAAACACACTAAAAAAAGAAATAAAAATCATATACCTCTCAACTGTCTACATTTACAACCAAATGCGCCTTCTCCAACACTCAGTCAACAAGGCTTTCAAGAAAGGTTCGTTCATTATGTTTAATTTATGTGTTTACTAGCCAACAAATATAAATACATTTTCTAAAAATATTTATTTGTTTGTGTATTTTATTAACGTTATTTGATACTCCAGTAAATTCTTCCAAAACTAGTAAATTGGGAATCCTGCGGATTGGCTTTGTTTTTATCATAATTAAATGAAAATACATCGTAGGCTACAGTTCCATCCAATTTTCGATTTGACACAACTCTAGATTTTTATTTATTCACATTTATCATTAACCATATATTTAAGCTCATATACGTATTCAAGTCTATAGACCTACGTAAAGTTAATCAAAAAATAAAAATCTCGAAAATAATTGTGTCATTTATTAAGAACCAGCTATACCTTTTCTAATACTTTCTTTTATTTAGTGACGAGTTTCAACAAGTGAATTCAATTAATGTACTTTATATCAATATTTAAATTGGTTATTGTCGTTTTTTGATCGAGCATTTAATTACTTTTCTAATATATTTTGTTGATGTTATAGTGTATGGAAGTCCACTAGTATTGTTAACGATTTGATTGGTAAACGAATCCAGTGCCGGCTTTAGGGTAGGTATTAAGTAATCTATGCGGAATGGATGAAGATCGTGATCCAAAGACTTTTTTGGACGTCGTCCTCGCGGAATACCTATGGATGGATCACATCTCCAGGATCGAAGAAAATAAGGGAAAGTCCATTGAATTCAATGAAGGCGCTAGAAATAGGGAGGCTTGACAGTCCTGGATCAGGGCACCTCCACGCTGAAAAGCATTGAGGAGGATGATAAAGAAGAAGAAAAATGATTGATTATTAAAATAATAAATTTTAGCCCACCATTAAAAAAAACTGTATTACAAAACTTGTTGAATGCAATAAAATTCAAATATTACATTATATGCTTTAGAAATAAATTTAATTACTTCATAGGAGGGAGGGGAATGACGCCATCGCCCGGGGGAGGAGCCCCGAATGTCTAAGGCCGACAGTGAACGAATCCCCTGTTGGTAAATATTGATGGTGGAATATCAGTACGGTATTTTGTTTTCTTTTCGGATATTATTGGTACTACCAGAGAAAGAATCACTTCAGAATCAGATTTTTTTAATCTGTTAAAATTGTGGAACATAAGCTTTTAAACTTGATTCCGACATAAGTAGTCGCTATCGCTTGTTCTATTTTTATAAATTATCTCTCGTTCCACCTTCTTTTTCGTTGTATAGGACTTACGCTGTTACAGTAAAAGTAGCACTAGCACCGAGACACGGTCAAACACATTGATGAATGGATCCCAGAGTGTACGATTTTTAACGTTGTGGGTTCGACTTCCATCTGGATCGGTTAATTTTCATTTCTGGATGGACCCGAGAAAGAATCTTGACATTCCCACTCTGGTAAATACGCGGCGGCAACCTCAAGATAGCCGTTAGAGATTGGCTATAAGGACTATACCCATTTCCCGGACTAGTTCTCCCCACCAGTACCAGTACCTTTACCAGCACAACCACCAGAAGCAACGTATTCCATTTTTAATGCAGATCGGAGTAATAAGTTTCCAAGTAACGCCCAACATCCATCAAAGAATTTCTAACATTTTGTATCTTGGTCTGTATATACCTTTTTCTATGACTGCGTAACAATTCCACAACAAAGAAGACAGTATACAATTTTAACGTTACAAAATAAATTTCTAGCCGTCCATACCTAGGTCGTGATGGCCGAACTTGTTAAATTTTAACGTTCTCGAGTCTAGCGATGCCGGTTAAATAAATTTTAACCCGCCCCGGCCTGATTAGGCCGGGGCGGGTTAAAATTTATTTATAAGTGGAATTGTGGCTTTCAGGCTCGGGTTAGGATTGTATCTGTGGAATAACCCCCTTCGTATGCCATGAATGGCGAGGTATGGAATATTAGCAAAAAAAGCATGCCAGATTTTTCATCAACATAATCTGTTGTAGTCTTGTCTTCATTATCTTTAAATGTCCGCTAGTGGGTGGTTACGGCCTTCCCAGCGTTAGGCTCTTTTTCTCATTCAGTATCCAATATTGTGTTCTGTTGGACCAATTGCCGTATTAAACGCAAATTCTATGAAAACTTGTTAAACTTTTTCTCATGTAAACATGTCTGGATACTTCTCGAGTAGGGTCGAGAGACAACGCCACCGCTAAGATCTGCGCTGCATCTTGTGAAGTTGGCCTGGATGTTCCGGTGATACTAAGAGAGCCTCTGAGTCGATGCTAGCCTATTTCTTTGTGAGATTTCAGAACAAGGGAGACACATACTCTCGGATAGCCTCCCAGTTCTTTTATAAATAGTGATAATGTAAGGATATACAGTAAACTCCCGCCTATCCTGCTCTCGCTTAACCGGCTTTAGCGGTAAATGAAAAAAAAAAATAACAACTTTAAAAGCACTTATAACTTAACAAAATCCTTATCCATAATTTATTTAATATAAAAATGAAAAAAGAAATGAAGAAGAAATACAGCGTAATTACCGACGTTAGATAGGACACATTTTCTTGAAAAGATTTTAGTAGAGGTTTTTCTTTTCAATAATGTTACACCTTTCGTTCAATTAAGTAGTGTGACATAATGAGTAGAGAAAGAAAACAATTTGTTAGGCCATTGAAAATCAATTTCCTTAAGATTTTATGCAATATAGAAGTTGATTAATATTGGAGTTTTTTTTTTTTTTTTTTTCATGCCCTTCGTATTAACTGTTTCTCTCGCTTAATCGGCGATGTCTTGATACCGACGAGGACGGATAAATGGGAATCTACTGTATGAAGGTCTAGATGTGCCTTGCCCATTCCCAAATTAAACCATTCATTAATTAAGCCATCTTAACTGTGAGGTATACCCAATGTCACATTTACACTTTACCTAACGTAATGTCAAGATAGAACACAGGCGGATCTACGGGGAGGGGAAGGGCTTTCGAGCTGAAGCCCCCCAAAATGGTAAAATATAACTATGTTTTACAGAAAAAATATGATAAACTATCTCTTAAAGTATTCTTGTTCGTGTAATTACATTTAATAAGACTTCAAGAACCACTTAAACACCATTTCATATAGCTAGTTAATTTCTTTCTTTTTTTTTTCAAATTAATTATCTTATATTTATACGAAAAAAAAAAATCTTTTGGGCTGAAGCCCTCCCCAAAATTAAATCCTGGATCCGCTAGTGAGATAGAATACCACCACACTTGGACACACCTCTGAAACTAGGTGTACTCTTTCAAAACTTAGAAGCCATCCACATTATGATCCCAGAGATGCTATCCAGGGACTGAATCGATGTAGCAGGTCCTAATCTTTAATCTGCGAATGGAGTATAACAGGCTCAAAGCCCACCTGCAAACATGCAGGATCTATTGCCAGCAAAGGAGTCTAATGTGGCCCTCTCCAATGAGATCAAAATAAAGCTATACCGAAGCATGGAGAACTACCAAATTCTTCATTTTAGATCCTGACCTGGCCGTCTGAGGAAAGAACATAGAAGAAGTACAAGACTTCTTCCATTGAACAATAGAAACCCTACAATGGAACCTTAAAGGAAAAAGAAGAAAAGAATTAGACTTGGCAGGTAAAACATGGAATGTGGCAAGAAGAATCTCTGCTGAGAGTACATATTATCCCTCTGATGCCATGAGCAAAGGCAATATCTTAACATCTGAAGGTTTATAGAGGTGCAATTATTGCTAGTTGAAGACTTTTACCAATTTATAGCAAAAAGATAATGAATAGAGTCATATTTAATAAATAATTAATCATTGGTTAGTACAGAGAACTACTGTTTAGTACAAAAAAAAAAAAAAAAAAAAAAAAAATCTTGACAAAATTTTATTAAATTACACCATAACTTATATTGCAAATTTTAGGCCCTTCTAAACAGGAACAAAAAAAAAAATCTTTCAATGAAAATTTGTTAGTAAACAAATACTTCCAATAGAGAAGTATACAAATGTTTTGAGAATATGACGGATATATTTATAAATAAAAAATCTTTGAAAATGACCAACATTTTGCAATATAAGTCAAGAATTTAATTTTTTTCCCTTTGAGATAAGTAATGGTATTTTTTATTAATCAATATTTAATTAATAATTGAAACATGTCACTATCCCAATTTAATAATGAGTAACCTAATTAATAGAAGGTATAGACTACAAATAATAATGTAGAAAGTTACTTTTATTGCCTTAGAATTGTAATTTGAACATTTAAAAAAACAATTACATGAATAGGATAACATAAATGTTTAATATATTTTTAAACAAATATTTACATATGTAGCAGACTTTATGGACATTTTTATTAGTCATTACATCATAATTTCATAGATATCTTAAATACTAAATTTGTGCATTTGCAGATAAAAATGTTTAAAATAGATAGATATTAGTAAGTGAACATAATCAAATAAAGAAAAAATAGAAAAATGATTGTATTAACTCTAATGCCCACAGTTTGTCGAAATAATAATAATTTATACAATTATTAAATGTTAATAGTTTCTTCTTTTATTTTTTTCATTTATATTACAAGGTTATTAAAACAAATAATTTAAATTTCATATTGGGCAAATGTACATTGTCATATTTTTTAAAACTAAATGAAATGAAGATAAAACTGATTTCTTACAGTAATACTTCAGTTGTCCATTAACATAACAAACAAAAATTATATTTTTCTATGAAAAAAAATAAATTGTTTTTTCACAATATACAGGAATGATACTACTACATGGTAAATGGCATTCAATTCCTCTAAAGTGGAAGAGTACAATTTTTAGAAAAGAGGACTGTTTCAAGTAATATACAGTTGGATAAAATATGGCCTATTAATGAATAATGGCATGCATAGATTTATATTCAAGTGGGTAAAAATGTCTTTGATAATAAAAATATTACTTTAATTTGTTTTTATCAACACATTTTTTGGAAGACTTAATTAAGTCATTAC